TGTTTGTTGCTTCTACTGTTTGTGTGATTGCATTGCTTGATATTGACATGTAGTATTGTCTTGGCTAAGCTTTGCTTGAGTTCAGAACAGCAGCAATTGAGACGACTTGCAGCAGCAGCAACCACAGCAGCGGCAGCTTGAAGGCGCTGTTTACCTTGCCAAGTACCTTTCAATTGTTTTGTGGAGAAAGAAAATTCAGTTGCTTTTCGAACTCTTGCAGAGTGGAACTTTCGTTTTTTTTTATGTTCGGCTTGCTTCTCGAGTGGCTGGCTGCTTCCTATAAATCTTTGCGGGCAGCAATAAAATTATACAAAAACAAAAAATATTACAAGAGCAAGAGCATTTCCATTGTACAGCTCGTCCAGAAGTTTGGGAAAGTTCAAAAACGTCGCTTGAAGACATTTTACATGCGGGACACACAGCAACTGGAACTTGGTCATCTCTTTGTACGGCTTTTACCCACTTGACTGACACACTCGCCCACTCTGCTGCACAGCATTTAATGATTCTTCTCCGATGTGCTTCAAGCTGCTTAATTGTGCAACTTTTCTATGGAAATTAAGTGCAAGATCTGCGCCGCAAGTCTCAAATTCAGTTTCAGTTTCAGTTACTTCATCGCTTTCGTTTTTGTTTTTTGTCTAGCGGCTCTGGTGGGAACTTTTCGTATTACCCTCTCGTTTTCAATGACTAAATGAGGCTAACGCAGTTTACCCTTTAGTTATTTAAATATGGCTTTGTTATTAATTTAAATTAGATGCCGTTGGATGCAAATTTTCAGTGAGTTCGTTTTGTAATTTAACTGAATTGTATTAAGTTAACTTGATTTGAATTTCTGTATCATTTGATATGGTTTGATTAAGCTAATTTGTGTGGGAGTTGAGAGGTATAAGATGAAAGATGTAAGGCTTTCTAAGTATATTCTGAAGAATTTTGAAAGGCAATATTGAATTTAAGCAAGAATGAGAATCGCTTAGAAAGGCATACCATTTGTTTATTTTTTTCTGATGCCAAACGATAATATTTGTTTAAGACATCGTTTGAATTCTCGAGAATCGATCAACAGATCTTACAACTTCTCCATGAAGAATTTTCTGCTTTCTAGAAATTCAAAAATGTCGGAAAAAAAAATAAAAAAAAATGTTAAAAAAATTTTAAAAATAATAAAACAAAAGTTCAACGCCTACAATTCAATTTATATCAATTTTGAACATAAATTAAGAACACCATTTATTTTTATTTTTTATTTATCTTTGCATAGGAAGTCGTTATAAGTTTCATACATAAGCCTCTTCATGTGCTTATTTCTTTCCACAACAGTAGTTTCTGTATTTACCTAACAAATACAGTTGACAACTTGATATAGTGTTAGTTTAACACTTTAAATAAACCATTTTGATCTGCAATTTGTATGCCAAAAATATATTTCTTTGAATAATCAAAAACTTACGCAAGCGAATGCTATCTGTAAAAAATTTCACCTGCTTACATTTTACATAAATGGGCAGCAGATCACAAACCATATAGACTGTCAACAAAATCATTAGAGTCCAAATATATATATATAGAAAACAAAAATGTGCCAATAAAATACGAAACCAACGCAAATTCGATTATCAATGGAATTCACATGATATGTATTTGATTACATACATATAACATATATTTTATTATACTATAAAAAGTGAATGCAAAACTCTGCACTTTCGCCACAAATTATAAAAGTCTAGAGCTTAGTTTTGGCCTCAGTTAGCTAATCGACGATCGGGTGTAGGATCAATGTCCGCCAAAAATTTCTGGGCACGTTTCTATATTATTGGGCAAATCGCATAATCAAAACACGCCCCAATCATTTACTAAAGAGCGTTTATTAGTTGCACGAATGTTCAGGCCAGGCTGGCCCACGCCGCCGCACTGCTCTGCCAATTGCATGTGAAAGTTCAGCGGCAGACGTTGGTCAAGGAGCCGCAATACTTGGAAGAGTTGAGAGTCGTGATTGTAGCCGTTGATAATCGGAACACATGAGCGCAGAGATCTGTGATGCCTGTACAAATTATGATACATGTTTGGCTGGGCGGCTGGATCACTTGAGATTATCTCAGGTTGAGTTGCAGGTGATTCAAGTGGCCCGAAATATGGCTCCCACACGCCATCAAAGAAATGCAGCTGCCTGACCCTCGATCTGTCCCCCCAGGTCCGGGTCTGCGTCTCTCCGCTTGCCTATCTGTCATATGCAAATGACCGAGTTTGTCCGAAAGCGAAAGTTCCATGACGAACGAGCTCATCGCAATGACGTCGACAACTGTAATTGCGGGGCGTTTATCATCGTGCTGACCAAAAACGATTTTTATATTGTCGTTTTTTTGAACCCTTGATGATATAAAAAACGATAACTTTCCTAACTCTAAAAAGTACTCTGAGTTGGCAGGTAAAAAGCATTTAAATCTAACGATGTTTTTATCATTAATTTGAGGCTTTATTTATATAGAAACTTTAAACGCATCTTTGTAATTAAATAAATTTTTATTTCGTTAGGAATTAGGAATTAGATTTCCTAAAGTTTTTAATATACTAAACATGCACATGATAAAGAAATTTATATAAAAAATAAGTTTTTGGGAGGAGGACTCTAGATTTACCTTAATTTCCTAGACTTGTCTTCTTCCTAAACTATCCATATTCACAAAGGAATATATTGTGATGTTGGCTCTGTAATCTGTCCTAAAGAAGTGATCTAAGTTGATTACATTATTCTAGTTTTCAGATGCGGATTCAGCATTTCAAAAACTTAAGATAAAATATTATCTAATATTTGCCTACTTAATCTTATTTAAACTCTAGATAAGTACTATTAAAGATGGTATACAAATGCCTGCAAATATTCAAGTAGATTAACATATCCGTTTGATAAACCAAAACTCATTTTGCACTAACTATTGTTCCCTAATTGATATCCATTAAATTTGCACTCCTTTTAAAAATCCATTTAATGCCATTTTCATGCGAAATATACAAGAAAGTTCCGTGTTTTTCCAATTGCAACTAGCCCGAAAAACCACTTAAAGTAGTTAAAGTTGAAACACTCAAAATAAACACGCCGATTGTTCGGGACTTTTGTTTCTGCTGCCTTGACTTTACGAATCACTCGTTTACTGCCTGCTGCGCATATAAAATAATTTTTCTGTTCGTTTTCTCACTTAACATATTCAATATACATTTGGAAATTTGTCACTTGTGCAGCGCTGCAAAGAAAGTTTTTCGTTAAATATTGGGCAATGTTTTTTTTTTGTTTTGTTATTGTATTTTTCGTTAGTTTTGTTTTTATTATTCCTTTTCGGACGATCATATGCGGCGCCTGCCAAATAACGCTGACTCGTTGCCAAGCTCATGTTGTGTGCGTGTTGAATTTAAATGTTTCACTTAATGAATAATGTGTGAAGTTGAAGCTATGCGGGCTGTGCCTCTGTAGCTAACATACCACAGGTTTATGGCTTTTGCTTTTATGTAGAGAAATGTAAATAAAATGATGAGGCTTAAGATGATAATGAGAAGTGGATATACAAATAGAATTTTGAATCGGAATTTAATAAAAGTTAGTTTTACTTCGTTTCCTTAACACTGTTCTTCGTTATTGATATTTAATACTTTCTTAAAATAACAATAAACAATATAAAGTTTCACCTGCTATAGTGTAAATTGACTATAGACTATAGTGGTGTGTAAAGCGAGCAGAAGGTGGCGGTAATCAAATTTTATTAGGCAATCTCTATTATAAAATGAGAGATGTTTTACTTAATAATAATTGCAGGCTATACGAATTGATACTTTATTTAAATTTAATTAAAAATGCTTTTGATTTACTTAACTGTATTTGTTATTAAATATATTTTAAAATTAAGTAAAATAACAAAAAGAACTTTAACGGTAGAGACCGTTGCAGTATGTCTTAAATACAGAAGCTTGGTATAAATTGAACACTAGATGGCGCGGATGTATTATTATTGCGCAGCCTAACAGCAGGCACTGCTTTTGAAACTTTTAATGCTCTATCTGAACTTAATATGAATCAATTTCTTGAGCGTTATGGAGAGTTAAAACTTCACATATTTTAAAATAAATGTTTCGCTTATTTTATTTGGTCTTTATTTGATTTAAAAATTTTCTTTTTTCAATAAACTGAATTGAAAATTTTGCATTTGACAAAAGCTTTGTATTAAACTTAATTTATTTAACCTGAAATAAATGTTTTTCTTTAAACATCATTTAAATTGCTTTTTGAATCATTTATATATAAGAAAATTTAATTAGTTTTAAATTTTAAATATTAATTTCTCCAAGGACAACATTTTCCGCATTTTTTCAACTTTTGTCTCAAAGTCGATAAATGAAACAATTCAAATTTTGTTTTAAACATTTTAATTGAATTAATTTGTTGTGCTTTTAAATAAATAATTACAATACGCGTATTAAATTAAATTACAATAGCTTCTTTTCTAAATTGTTTTGTTTTGTTAAATAACTTCGGGAAAAAGAAGCGCCTAATCAAATGCCCTACATCGAGTAGAGCGATTTGCCAAATATCTATTAAATAAACTTACGAGCTAAGTAAATGTTATGCAATAATTTAGAAAATTATATACAGAGCAAAAGGGAGGGGAAATAAATTAAATTGTTCAATCGAGTCATCAACTCGTTGCTTGCTAAATATAAAAATCTTCCTTTAAAATTAACAGTATGACAAAGGGATATCATTTTAGCTATAGTTATCGTTATTGTAATTATTGTAATTGTGGTGCGGTGTGTGCAGTGTGCAGTGGGTTGACAGTGATGCTAACTGAAATCGTTGCTTGGGTTATGCGCTAGACTCCATGTAGATCGTAAGAGTATATGCCATAACCAAAGCACGAGTTCGAGTTTGAGTTTTGAGTTGAAGACTTTGTTCGGATTTGCTGGGCATTCGCTAAGGATTTAGACATATTACAGCGATGAAGACTACGAGGCGACTAAAATTGTAGAATCTGATTGATCCAGTCTCGGAACTCAGAGATGCGCGTATAAACGCCCGGCTGATTGGCCTCCGCACAGCCGATGCCCCACGAGATGACGCCGCCCAGTTGAAAGCGTTTATCCGACTCGCGCTGCAACACCATGGGGCCACCCGAATCACCTGTAAATAAGTGAAATCCAATTAGCCGATGCCATTAATCACACACATACATATTTGAGTATATATGAGTAAATGTGGTTACCTTCACAGGAATCGTATCCGCCCTTCTTCCAGCCGGCACAGATGAATATGTGCGGTATGTGCTCAATGTAACCCGCTGAGCGGTACATGGACTCACAGATGGTGTTGTTGATGACAGGCACAGCGACCTCCTGCAGCACGCTTGGCAGTGGGCCATCCTCGTACAGGCGTCCCCAGCCGGTGACAAAGGCCGTTTGTCCAATAAAGTTCTCATCATTATCGGGCACACAGACGGGTATGATATTCGGCTGGAATACTACGGGCTCATAGAATCTTGAAGAAAACGGAGAATAAGTAAATTTTGATTAAGCGTTTGTTTTCTTTTCGCACTCACCTGAGCAGGGCCAAGTCGTATTCGAAGGTGCGCGGATCGAACTGTGGATGGGAGGCAACAATTTGCACACGTCGCTCCTGGAAGCCATAGGGCTCCTCTTCCTCAGCCAAATCGTATTCGCCCAGACGTAATAGCAGATCAGAGGGTGGTACACTGAAAGAGCATTGGGTTGGGTGTTGGTTTGTTATTTTTATAAAAACAATCTTTATCAGTCTACTCCGAGAGGCACTTACTTGTCAACACAATGTGCTGCGGTGATTGCCCAGTTCTCGTTGAGCAGCGCTGCGCCGCACTTGTGCAGATAGGTTGAGGTGCGCCATTGGCGCAGGGATATCTGCCATGGCCAGCGGCCAAAGGCGGCGTTTGCGCCGCCAACAATGCGCGGCTCGGGGAACATGCGACGGCCGCAGACTGCAAAAAAGATGGCAGGGGATTTTAATAGGCGAGCAGGTCACAATTAAAGTAATGGCCACAGCGAAGAAAAAAAACGAAATGAAGCCTTTAAAACATTTTAATCACTACAACAGGCACTCAGTCATCCAGACGCATGCAATGTAATATGCTTTGGCCAACTCTTTTGGCTTTGCTCTTGGCCAGGCCTTGACTTTGGCCAGCAGTCAACGGCCTACTTTATGAGCCGCAGCCGACTCGTTTCGTGCATCGAGATATTGCAAGTTGCTCTCGCAAATCGGTCAACGGGCCTCAACCTAACCAACCAGCCAACCGAGCAGGGAACAACTCCTGACTCATTTTGCTCACAGGCTCAAGGAGCGGAGTGGCGTGGCTTGGCGTGGAATGGGTTCGCAATCGGACAATCGACTTAGCAAGCACGATAAGCGCAGACAACGTGACCCAGGCGGCACAATGACCGCAACGCCAGTCATTATTGTAAATTATTGCTGTAAAAATTGCTATGGACATGAGTTGTTCTTCTTGTGGCAGTAAAAGCCGCGCTTTGCTTTCTAGACACGCTGATGCTCCTGTGCAGCAGCATCCCTGCAACATGCGCACACACACACACATACTGAGAGCCAAGTCGAGTTGAGTATCATTCAGTCAGACATAAAGTTCTTACTCAAGGCCAATGTTCAGCCTTCAAATTGAATTTAATGGCCACGCATCTTTGTCTTATGGCCAAAGTCTGGTGTATTAATAGATTTCTTCGCTCTGCAGCAAACTAGTTTTTTTTTTGTTCTTCATTTTTTCACAAGCTATACGCTTATATTTGGGGTATATTAGCTTATATAGGAGAGTTGCTCTTGTAAATCAAATAATGGAAAAAAATTAAAAAAAAAAATTTTAATTCTTATTTTTAATGTTGGAAGTAGTTTATATGAATAGTAGTATGAAGCTTAAAAATGTTTTAGGAACATAGTAAAAAGTTTTTAGCATAGATTATTGAATTCTTGAAGATTGGTTTTTTTGTATAAATATAATATATAAATTTATAATATTTAAATATTTCAAACTATTTTTGAAAAAATGTTTTTGAACTGTTTTAAAAAGCTTTCAAGCCTATAAATATTATGGAGCTAAACAACTTTTTGGCGAATATATACCTATTTGTTATTGAGATGTTTTCTTATCATATCAGCAAAATATATAGTGAAATGTATGTTAAAATTTTCTTGAGTCTCTCAAAAGTTTAAATTTCTGTTAGTTAAATATATTTATGTAATCTATAAACTAGTTTTGAATTTCTGTTGCTCGTTTGTGAATATAGGTATTGGTCTCGAATCAAAGATCAAAGTCGAGTGTGTTTGAATGAAGTTGGCGAAATAATACTTGAAGGTCTCCTCTTTGTACCTGGCTATATTCTAATTATAGTCTATAGTCTTTAGTCCGTAAGGCTTTTTAAAGAGTACACAAATTTAAGAATCGTTTCATTTATCAGCTCCAACTAATTAACAACTAACTCTATATTCCATTTATATGACACATATAATTAATATGTAATACACATATATATAAGTGAGGGCATACGATCTTCGTTTAGCTGCCTTTGACTATTTATTTTCTCTTTTCCTATTTTTTTTTTCGCTCTGCCTGTGCATCAATGAAGAAGCAACATGTTGAACTCACCTTCCCTGTAATCGACGCCCTCCAAGCCAGTGGCAGGCGCTACGGTTGTATTGCCAGCTGCATCGATTGTCGTTGTATTCGGCTCTTCACCGCTGTAGTCCGTTGTGGTGCTGCTGCCGCTTGACTCGCTGCTTGAATCTATGTAAGACGACGTTGAGGATGCTAATTCCAGGCGTTCAGTTGTTGAGGTTGTTGTTGTTTTTGTCGTTGTTGTTGTTGGGGCTGCTGTTGGTTTTGTTGGTGGTGCCTCTGTGGTTTTGCTTGTTACAGTTGTTCTTGCTGTGGTTGTTGCTGCTGTTGTTGTTGTTGTCGCCGTTGCTGGCGTAGTTGCTGTTGTCTTGGGCGGCTTTGTGGTTCTATGCGGCTTGCTAGTTACCATTGTCTCCTCATGAATTTGACTCTGACCCGGCTTCGAGTCGCTGCCACTGCTGCTGGTGCTGACGCTGGTGGCCACCGAGATAACCACCTTGTCTGTGGCGCTGGGCGTTGCTGCAATTAGAGTTCGATTCATGTTTTATCTTGCATTTGCCACGTTTTACCTGCACCACTTACCTGTGCCAGTGCTTGTATCTTTCTCTGCATTGCCTGTCGTTTTGTTGTTGTACAACTCGGGCAACAAAGTGGGCAATGGCACCCAATCTCCGGCTGATTGCCCTGGCTGCCAATCGCTGCTAATGGTCGCATTCGTAATGGGCTCCGCTTCAACATCTGTCCAGGTGATCAAGCCTGGTTTTTTGGTGGTGCTAACACCACTTGTTGTTGCTGCTGTTGCCGTTGTTCCAGGTGTTGCTGTTGGTTTTGCTGGCAATTTGGGCGCTTCGGTTGTAAGCAACGGTGCAGCGGTTGTTGTTGTTGTTGTTGTTGGTCTTTTTGTGGAGGTGGTTGGGGCTGCTGTGGTGCTTGTTGTTGTTTTTGTTGTATGTCGGCGCGTGGGCTTGGGCGTACTTGTTGCAGTTGTTGTTGTGCTGCTGCTGCTACTGCTGCTGCTGCTACTGCTGCTGCTGCTGCTGCTGGTGCTGGGTTGCTTTTTAGGCGCTGCTGTTGTTGTTGTATGGCTGCTGCTGCTACTATTGCTGGTTGTCGTTGGTCTGCGCGTGGCTGTTGTCGGTATCACATCTGCCAGCAACGCGGGCACCTTGACTATCTCACCCGTTGGCTGTGGTTTTGGCCTGGGCGCCAACGTTGTTCTTTCTGGCAGTTTGGTGGTTGTTGTTGATGCTGCAGTCTTATGGCTCTGAGTGCCTGATGTGGTTGTTGTTAAGGTGCTGCTGGTGGTGCTGTTAGCTGGCTTGCGAACGGGCAAAGTTGTTGCTGTATTGCTGCTGCTGCTGCTGGTGCTGTCGATTGGCTTACGAGTTGCTGTTGTTGTAGTGTTTGCGGTGGATGTTGTTGTTACTGGTTTCTTGGCTGGCGCTGGACGCCTGCTAGATTGCGGCTTGTGTGGTTTTGGCGTTGTCGTCCGCAACGGTGGTGTTGGACGCGATGTTGTTGTCGTCGTCGTCGATGTCGTCGTTGGTGTTGCGGTTGTTGTTGGTGCTCTGGTGGTTGTTGTTCTGCTTGTTGTTTTGGCAGCTGGGGAGCTGCTGCTACTACTGCTACCGGTGGGCCTGGTATACCGTCTGGTGGTTGTTTCGGGCAAGCGATTGGTGGGTTCAGTGGTGGTTGGCGTGGTTGTCTCCACAATCTGAAAGGTGACAAACTTGCTCGGCACTGTGGTGGTTTCTATACGCTGCTCATAAGCTGGCCCGGTGGTTAACACTGGACGCGTTGTGGTGGTGCGACGACGATGTGGCTTAACGGTGGTTGTTTGCTTTGCGTCTACGTTGGGCTTTACTGTGGTGCGCACCACAAAGTGTGAGTTCTTGTGAGTGGTGTGCGCAGTGCTGGGGCGACGCGTGGAGCTGGATGAATGGGTCGTACTGCTGCCTGAAGTACTGTCATTGCTGGTGGTGCTGCTGCTGCCGCCGGTGCTTGTGGTGCGCACTGGCTTAAGGCTGCTCAAATAACTCTGAGTTACATTTTTGAGCAGCTCGTTGGCTGTGTTTTGTTGCTGCTGCTGCTGCTGTTGATAATTATGGTGGTGCGTGGTGCTGCTCTCAGTGGTAAGCTTAAACAGTGCGCTCGTAGGCAACGTCGTGGATTCGTGAGAGAAATGTGAAATTGTATTCTGATCGATGCTATTGTCGCTTATCTCCGGCGCAAACAGCGAAGCCTCCTCCTGCGAATACAGAACGAGTGAGGGAGAGAGAGATGGTTGTGTGGTTAGTCGATTAAGCTAATTATAGTGCTTGCAGCTGCGTACTTACCTTCAGAGCACAACACGAGCCGAAGTAGAAGCGATCGATGCAGGTACCCAAATGCGTGCCATTCTGCTTGATGCAATCGATGGCAAACATGCAGACACCCGAACGTCCCGATTTGCGCACTATGCAAGGCAGGTGGCGTATGTTGCGACCGGATTGAACTGCAAGACAAGGGAAATTATTGTTATTAAAAGCTGACTGATGATCATACGGGATATGAAGATGACGTATATATTAAAAAAATGTAGATATATTTTCTCTATCTTCCTTTGAAGAAAGTTGTATCATAATAGTAAGAAGATCTGTGCTTACACTGAAAGAAAACAGATATCTCTCTTTAAATAAACTCTAAAGTAAACATTTCCCTTACACACATATAACAATCATCAATATACTCAAGCAAACTTCAGCAAAAGCTTATTTAACCATCGCATAGAAAAACCCACCAAATATTTCGCTCAGTGTATGCTTAACAGTACGACAATTGCATGACAAAATGAAATGCGCGTTATGCTCTGTATTCTTATTTGCTATTCTGATGCTCCAAACCATTTCCGTTTGTTTGGGGCGATTAACGCCTTCAAATTGTACGCCAATTTAAGGCAAGCAAATACCGTTAGATAAACAGTTATAACAAGTGAAAATGAAGTGGCAACAACAAGCCATAAAGAGAGAATGAGAGACGTCAGCTAGGCACGATGAGGCAATACAACCCCAACATGGACGGACAACAGTAGCATTATTATTATTATTATTATTATTATGGTTTTTATTTATTTATGAATTGCCTCTTTAAGAATGAACAGCGAGTCACATGTATTTTGTAATGGAGCCACCAGTCTTTGAACTTATGTAATTGCAGACGACACTTAAAAGAGAAAGAGAGAGGGCGAAGCGAAAGACTCAAGCAACGAACTCGGCGCCCCATGTGAAGAACCTTTTGTTTGCAGTACGCGCACGGTCATAAATAAAGCGACACAGCTTGCGAGCTGTCGGAGCTACCGTGTCAGGCATCGCGTTAAGCACAAGTTACTTGGCAGATAAATTTTCGCGCGATTTACTCGTATTTCAATGTTAAAGCCAGCCGCAGTGCAGCGCTGCCGCTGATGTGTGCTTGGCGTTTATTGAACTTTAACTGTAAAGCTGATGTATACAAAAGTTTATTGGTTATGCAATTAACACGAAATGCTGATATATTGTATGAGGCAGCGCAAAACAAATGACTTAAGGCACGAACTGGCCAAGAACTCAACAAAGAACCGAAAAAAATCACCAAATGCCGGCCCCACACACACAAACACACACACACGCACACATATCAAATTATATATTTTTGTAGTCAAAACTTTGTCACGTTTCGTAGACAACGCATGGCAGCGCCGTCTGCGTCAACGTCGACGTCGGCGTCTCGCGTCAATGTCTCAGCTTTTTCTTCAGCTTCTGCGCCTGGTTCTACTGCCGTTGCTGCTGTTTGCATTTCGTTTTGTGGCTTTTTGGGTCAACAGCTTAGCATATGTTTTGCTAGCCACTCGCCAAGCGACACGAACAGCCTACCAAGCAGCCGACCAGGCAGCCAAAACCAACGGGCCAGCTAAACCTCTAGAGCTGGAGGCCCAGACCCGCATTGCAATGTCGGAAATTCGTTTTTGGCATGCGAATGACGGCGGCGACGCAGCGAGCCACATTTTCTTTGGGGGCAACTCGATCGTGGTGGCTATTGAAATTGGGTCAGGCGCTGACCTCAGCGTGGGCGTGGTCAGAAGTGTTAGAGGCGCTGAGAATGAGTTCATGGCTGACATTGTTTTTATATTTATTTATTTCCCTTTCACTTGGCGTCGATTTACTTTCCGCTTTCTGCGCCGCATCTCGCCAGGCACAAGATATATATACCTACATATATATACACATATATTTTTTTTTATTATTATTGTGTTTGTTGTTGTTATTGTCTTTTGGTCCATTGCGAGTCATAAAAATGAAATGCCTGCCACCTTGACGCAGCCACTGGCAATGGCTTGTTGTTGTCTGGCACACGCTTTCTTGCGGCTGCGCTGCTGGCTTATTTTTATGGCAACATTCTTTGATGGTTGACCTCAATTGCTTTTGCTCGCTGACGTTTGCCCGTTTGCCCGTTTGCCGGCATTGCCAGTTTTGGCTCACTGTTTGCTTTGCAGCCAAGAAAGTTGTGTACGAGCTGCTTGGTAGTTTTATTTTCAAAACTCTCGCGATCTGTGAACTGATGCTGTGTACGAGCTGCTGTAACTGCCTCAAGCTCTGCCCATTGTTGTCGACAAATTGGCAGCTGTCGCTGGCTAACACATGTCTTATGAAGAGGAAGTGCTAATAGCATCTAAATTTGATTCTTAATGGCTATGACCCAATTAAACTATGCTCAATACGCAACGCTTGTCGCCGCTCTGCATCATTAATTTTGATTACTTTCATTTGAGACGCCACATGAGACCAGCAGCCATCAGCAACATGAAACTATTGGCCATTTGCTCAAAAAAAAAAAAAAAAAAAAAAAAAAAAAACAAGTTTGTGTCTTCAGTCTTTCGTTTTATTTTGGCAATCAAATTTGATTGCGTTCAGTTGCTACCAATTCTGGTTCTAGCGAAGATATGAACATAGCCATTAACCGTCTTCTGCTTGATGCTCAGCTTAATTTTTTTTTAACTCTAGTTTTCCTAAAGTGCTCAAGTCGTGAATTTTTTAAGGCATTAAAACGACTAAATTTGATTACACTACCTAAGCGGCTTTCTTTAGCTAATGTCGTTCTATGAAATAAATAAAATATCTATAAAATATCTTTAGTAAGAAAATGTTTTTGAGCTATTTGAAAATAAGTCGAGAGAACTTGAAAGAATCGTCTATTCATCCTTTGAAAATTTTCTGATGTAAAGAAAGTAAAAATAACTTCTGATAACTTTCCAGAAACAATAGCTTTTTACCGCCTCCATCTTCTAGTTTAAATAAAATTGTTTCCATTAAAAAGTTTTCCATTTAAGTCTCAATTTAGATTCCCTACCTCCCGCTGTAGAATTTTCACAAAATTGCATAGGCATTTACTTTAAATCATTGTTTCCAAGAAATGCGCCCCAAAAAAAAGAGAGTATCCAAGTAAAGAGATTTTTTAATAGCCTACGTGAGAGAAAGTGCTTGAATTCTGGGTAAAACCTGTCAACAGGCGCTGCTGACAAAGCAGCTCAGCCTCAGCTGGCTTGATGTCTTTATGCGCTGTGAGTGATTCCAGTGAAATGCTGTCAAAGCTGGCCACTTGGATAGCTGATGCTCAATTTGACAACTTCATAATTATCTTGCTACTTACACTGCGCTAAGCTCGGATTATCCACAAAAACGGGACTGGCCTCCAGCGCTGGCAAGAGCAGCAAACTGCTCAGCGCCAGGATGATGATGCTGCTGTGCATATTTCTGCTAGTTCTGGCGTTGATCGATGCGGGTTTGACTGAGCTGCTGTCGTCTGCTCCACTTTTGCCTGACGCTATCGCTGTATCTCTAGCTCTGTATCTGTATCTGTTAGTCAGCTGCTGCTGCAACGCGCCCATCTGCAAATGGAAAATAAACATAAATGCTTTTAGTTATGAATCATTGCGGCAAATGTGAAACGTTTTACGGCCCTTATCCGTATTCAAATTAAAACTAAACACGGAATTTCTACCGCGAAGCCATGGGCACGGCAAATATAACAAAAAAAAAAAAAAACCAACAACTACAACAAAAACATTCAGACAGCAAGTGCGTAGAAGCTTTTGGATGACTCAAGCTCTTCAAGTAGGTGAAAGTCGTTCGTTTCGAGTGACTTGCATATGCAAAAAAAAAACGAAAGAAAAAATTTTAAAAAATAAAATAAAAGTTAAAAAAAATAACAAACGTCTAGAAGCCAAGAAAGTCTTTCTACAGCGCAACGCACTTAAGTTACGCTTCAGAAGTTATCTAACAATTGTGTGAAAATATATATGGAAGTGTGATAAGAATTTGGTTAGAAACTGAAGAGTTTTAAGGGAGAGAGCTGTGACAACGATTTGAGTGTAGCTGTCTGAGTGATTTTTTAGAGCATATAATGCGGACATTCAGCTTAAAGTGTTTTTAAAAAATATTTGAGCTAGGCTTAGACACTTGAATTAGAGCATTTTAGGCTTCATGTAGCTCAATAGGAGTAAATGTAGTTCAGGTATTTGATATGATTGACAAATCTTGATATATTCTATGTATGTTTGTATTTCATATGTGTCGAATCCTATATAAAAAGCTTTAAGCACTATGTTAGTCAAAGGCATGTTAAGCTTCATTGCCTTCAGATCGTTGCTTGAATTTTCTAAGTTACATAAATATAAAAAAACAGTAATTGATTTAACCGCAATTTATATCCACTAAATCAATTAATCTTCAACTCATGTTCACCCAAAGAAAAGTAAACTATTTCAAATTACAAACAGTCTAAATAACTACAGAATTTAATTACAAGAGCCCAGATCCGAGCTAGCCAAACAAATTGCTTAATATATATCAACTGAAGTTTCACTAAAGCCAATGCAACAATTCTTCGAGTGCAGCATGACTAGTTGAATATGCCCATGTGACAGAAATAAAGTGTATAGAAATGCAGCAAGAGAAGAAATTTGAAATGAAGCTTGCGAATAAAAAAGGTAGGGACAAGTGGGCGTATGTGTAATTTAGCTACCTGCTGGTAGCATTGCTTGTGCTGCCGCTGCTGTAGCTATTGTCGCTGTTATCGGGTGTTTAGTCATGCCCGATGGAAAGCAAAAGTGTGTGTGCGTAGAAAGCGCACAACAATGTGCTAATGGGCAGCACGATATATATATCCAAGCATATATAAATATATATTGATGTATATATAGCTCAGCATAAGCGGGAACTACACGTTGTATAAGCGTTTATATAACTGTACAAAGTGCAAATGGGTGTGTTCACAACTGCTGCAACTGGTTCTCAGTGCGTTAAAGTTCAAGATACGACTAATTGATGAACGGCTGCTGCTGCTATTGCTGCTGATGCTGTTGCTGCTGAAGAAAGTTTCAGGCATGACAAATGTACAGATATGATGACATAAACTGTAACAATCAAAGAAAGCGCAACAAAAGAAATATAAACGGAGGGAGTAACTCTATATGAGACTCGTTGATGATGAGTTGACTGAATCTAACTGGAATTGGAAGCGAACCGAAGGCACAACCTGCTGATGAGCAACATTTGGCTCACACGCAGTGTGTTTGTTGCCTTTGGCGACTTTGTTTTCATTGATCCGTAAGCAGCAGCAATAGCGGCAGCAACAGCAGCATTAGAAGTTAGCTGTATGCTCTCCCGCTCTCCTTTTCTCTCTATCCCCTTCTATCGCCTGCTCTTACTCATCTGCTCACACGCTCGTCACGATCTGCAGCGTTGAGCAATTCGCTGTCGCGCTGCGTTTGTTTGGAGCGTTTTCTTTACCCAACAACAACAACACTAACTGTTGTTGCTGCGACGGCTGCTGCTGCTCGTGTTCTTAGGAGCTGCGTTGCGTAATACGGTCATTGACATTGGGCCAGAACCGTTGCCCGCAGCTTAAAGGCATTTTATATATTTTTTAACCGCATGCGGCTTGTGCAAAAAAAGTATACAATGCCATAAAATGTTGCTTAGTTTAAATATAAAAGTCTAAGCCAACTGTCATTAAAATACATTTCATATATTTCTTATATGGTATGGCTATGTGCATAGATACCCTGTAGAAAGGGAATTTGATTTAAGGTGTTGAAGAAATTAACTTTAGCAGCTGAAATTTTCTTTTCCAGTTGACGAAATTTAGCAACTCGCTCTATAGATAAATAACTAACATATTATATAAGCTTAATATCAAAGTCTTGTAACTGTAGAACATGAAGTATACATAACGTATTTGTACTTCAAACAGATCTTAGGCAGCTAACTAGAGGTAGGAGTATGGCAAATGTCATTGATAGACTTAAGCTAACTAACTTGAATTAGAGTTAAGAACATGTTTTTGGTATGCACTTGATAAATTCATAATCTAATTAAGCTTCATTTCCTCTGAGCCGTGTTTAAACCTATTTTCTGCTTCACTTCAAAAGCTTTAATCACTTTAAAAATCAGTTTTTCATGCAGAGCATCAGCGATTCCGGCACGCTTACCTAAAGCGCTCTTGTTCTTTATACCAGCTTCTGGTTCTCTAATGGGCGTTGTCTTAGGCGCAATTAAATATAATTTATGCGATCTGCGAAGAGAAAGGGAGGGAGAGAGAGAGAGGTAGAAAGAGAGAGAAAAGCAGAACGGAAGCTATAAAATATATCCGCATGAACGCAACGCTGATTGCTTTTAATTAGGTGCCAGAATCGGCAGCTAATTGCAGTTCAGCTCGGCAGATCAAAATAAAATTGGTGGGATTTGAGATGAAAGATTTGAGCTATCGCTGAGCAAACATCGCTCACACACATAGCTTTTGTTTAGTAGCTATGCGAGCGCTGCGAAAAAACGGCTATTTGTGTATTTGGGTCACGTTCTTGGCTTGGCCATATAAATATCAGATGCGTGTAATTGTATTCGCGTTCCATTTCGAGAAATGTGCAAATTAACATGAATTTTGTGGCTACTGTCGATAAACCAGTCGGAACGGCAAACAGACAGGCAGACAACCGGACGGGCGGACGGACGGACACGTGAATGACTGAGAATATCGTTTAAGTGGGTCACACACAGATGATTTGCATGATTGTGTTTTTTTTTCTCTCTTTATTATTGAATTGAGCTGGAGAGCTGCTGAGGAGGCGTCAGCTGAAAACAATTAAGTAATTTCCACCTGGGCAAATAAAAATTTGATGTTTATTTCCACTCGACATGTTAAAAGTGAAATTACAATTTTATTTTATTTATTTTTTCTTCTTTCTTGGGAACTTTTATTTTATGTGTTTGTTTTTTTTTATTAAAAAGTCATTTGTATGTATTTGTCTCTCTGTGTGTGTGTGTATAACACTTGCCTTAAATAAAAGCGAAAGCCACACAAATTGTACTTTTTATAAGGTAGCTCTTCTCTCTCTCTCTCTGCTAACATATGAATATCTTTATTTGTTTAAAAGAAAAGTGAAATGCATGCAGAAAGCACAATATTGTCACATCAAATTAGCCAAAAAGAAAAAAGAAAGAAGAGGAAGCAGGTGAACAATAGAATTATGCCATATGATATTTGGTAGAGCGCACATAATCAGAAACCAGAAGTGCGTCCACTTTTGCTGCGACGCTTCAACTTGGCTTTCATTTCTGTGGCTGGTTACCAAAAACGGCTTTGGAGAAATTTTGAATGGGTCTGTGAGATAGCGTGTGTGTGTGAGTGTATATATAATGTATGCTGTCTATTGCTAGCTGCGGGATGCGGGAGTTCATTAGTTCAGTTAGCTCTAGAAAGCCAAGTCAAACGACGCACGAATGTTTTAGCCAAAAACAAAAGACTTAAGGCACAAACTTGCAAGCGACAAAATTTCTCAATTGCAAGCAATTTATTATAATTAACATGCATTTAAGCGAACCACTTGTAAGGGGGATGGGGTGTCAGGCATGCAGGAGGCATCATGATCTGCTGTAGCTGTAGCAGTAACTGGAGCTGGAGCAGCAGAAGATGCGGCTGCATCAGCATCTGGTAAATCTGCAGCCTCTTGTCATGGCTGGCAAAACCAGAATAAGCTGAAATGCAAATAATGCTCAAGGCGCTGCTGTGGCTGCTACAAATGGGGGGAGTTCGCTTAGTGGCAGCAGCAGTTGAAGCCTCTGCATTTTAGACCAAAGTCAAAGCCAAGCGACAACAACAACAGATGCAACAATAACAACAAGAATAACAGCTAGCAGACCAGTTCCGAAAAGAAGTTTTTTGCTCTTGTGTCTTGTTGGCTGCTGCTGCTGCGGCAATTGAAACACTTGCCGCTTGTTGTTGTTCTTGCTGCTGATGCTGCTGCTGCTGCAGCTTTTATTGTTGTTGCTGCTTTTAACAGGAATTTCAATAAAAATTTGCAGCACAAGGCAACTTTTGCTTTGGACTCGTTTGGCTTTGGCCGTTGATCAAAATCAAGGCGCTTGAACTTGTTGTTGCGCCTGCTCTTGTTTTGCAGCAAGTTGATGCTGCTGCCGCTGCTGCAGTTGCTGTTAGTTGCAGTTATGCGCAACTATTGTGTGTGTGTATGTCCCTAATTGACTTGTACGTGGTAGAAAGTGCGGCGCAGCTACTTAGCACACACACACACGTACGGCAAAGGGGCGCGCGTATCTGACGGATGCGTATCTAAAGATTTGTTTTTTTTTTTTTTTTTTGTATTTCTGCTTTATCTTTTGCATTTACTTGCTGCGTGTATTTTCGGTTGTTTGTTTTGTGTTTGTTGTTGGGGTTTTTTTGTACTGTAGCTTAAACTTCACTGCCAACTATTTTGGGGTCATTTCTTTTAATTTGATGCCGCACTGTTATTATTCTATGTTTTTGTTGGCATTATGCTTCTGCTGTTAACTCTTCATACGGCTTTTTGTTTTGTTAGTTTCTTATATATTTTTTTATGAGTTTTTTCACATTTGGCTTTTGTTTGACACTCACGCTGCTTGTATTTTGTGCTTTCGTTGATTGCTCTCTCTCGCTCTCTGTTGCTCGCACAGGCTGCCTTTTGTTTTAAGCCCAATATATATATATAGATAATATATATATTATACAAAAAAGAAAAAACTTTCGGGAATTCGGACACAATACGCCGGCCTTTGTGTTTAAAAAGGATTGTAATTTGTTTACTTTGCCTTTTTGCTATGCAGCTACGCACTGGCCAAGCCAATTTGAGGCCAATAACTCAAGTTCTATAGGCTCTCGCACACTCACGCACTCACACACACACACACACACGCGATACGAACACACGCACACACACACACGAAATCGACGTAACCGAAAGGCGAAGCAAGTCGATGCCGAAGAGGAGCCAAAGACCGCGTTTGAGTTGCGCACGTCTGGAGAGAAGCGCGCATACAAAAGATCCACACGCCAGTCGAAGTCAGCCAAAGCCAAAGACACAAACTCTGACGGCAACGCCGGCGTCGCAGTCGCTGCGCCGCTGCTGCTGCTGAGATTTTGCGACTGCGCTGCGAACAGCGCTGAAGAACGACAAAGCAAAATTGGTAGTAGCTATAGAGGCAACATACACGCACACACACACACACACAAATATACAAGGGGCACTTGCGCATATAGAGAGCCACAACATGTGCGCATGCGTAGCCGGGCGATGCCGACGTTGACTGCGGCAGCAACACCGACAGCGACGCTAGTTAGAGCTTCGCGCATAACGGTTTCCATTAAGGCCAGTTCACAAAATGGTGAGAACAACAAACGCTAGGCGGTTGTTATTGTTGTTGCTGCTGCTGCTGCTGCTGTAGCTGTTGCTTATTCAAATGAACAGTCACACACACACACACAGAGTCGCACACATGCTGGCACACTCTCTCGCTGCTCTCTTGTTGTCACAGCCACAGCCACAGCTGATTGGCGGCATTTGTATGCGAAGACTGCGGCTGCGGCAGGGTGCAGGGGCCATACAGCAGAAGTTTGGGGTTAACAGCGCTTTCACATTAAAATAGCAAGAAGCAGCGACAACAACAACAAGACAGCGCAGTTGTTAACTTGGGAGTCGCTTGCTGGCTTTTTCTTTAATATATATATATATATCTTCATTTTTTTTTGGTGTGTGGTGCAAATGAGTGGTGCTCACACAGCCTGTCGCCATTCTTTGTTCAACTAACTGACGCTGTGTGTATGTGTGTGTTGTTTGTGTTATAATTTATGCACGTCTTCAGGTTAAGAAAGTCAAACTTTATTAACGCTGCTGTTAGTTGTCTCTCTCTCTGTGTATATACCTGTTTATGCTGACGGCTGATAAGAATTGCTAGCAATTTAGCTGCACTTGTTGCTAATTATGTGGCAGCACAGTAACGTGCACAAACACACGCAGAGATATGTTAATGCACTTTTAAGCGGCTTTGAAGCGTTTTGCTTATGTTTGTTCTTTGCTCACTTGCAGCTTGATTAAGCACAACAACAACAACAACACACATCAAGCCCAATCAATCAATCAAATAATTAATCAATTTGTTTTAATGGCACATCATTTGGCATAGGTTTATATGATTAAAACGCGGTTCAAATCATTTTCTTTATGTTATTTTTTTATTATATATTTTTTGTTTTGTTTTGTTTTGTTTTTAAATTAAGCAATCGACGCACAACAAACGCTTTGAACTTGAGAGACCTTGACACTGGCGCTGCTTCACAGCAACTGAGCCCAGGCCCAGCCGTAAGCAGGCAACAAGTTGCGCCCAGTTGTCCAGCGCTTTGGACAAGAGGAGCAAACAGCAGGCAGGCAGGCAGGCGAACAAGCAACAAAGAAGTGGAATTCATTTGTTGTGGATGCCAAGAGCACAAAACAGCTCCAAAAAGCGAAAGAGAGTGTATGTGAGAGCGATAAAGAGAGGGAGAGAAGCTGTGCCTGATAAGCCGCGCTGAGTCAAGCGCTTAATTAGCCAAACATGTGTTGATTATGTTATTTGATTTGATTTTCTATAAAACTGCTTACCAAAACACACACACGCTCACACAATAACTGCTGCCCCATAGCCGTGTTGCTGCCACAACGGAAGTTGCATCATTAGAAATTCTGAGCATGCCTCATTGTGGCTCACCTGCTTGTTGCCCGCTTGCCACATTGACATTGTGTTGCACTTGCGCTTCTGGGAAGATGTGCCTGCTGCCTATTTGCTTTCATTTGGCTGCTGCTGCGGTTTCTATTTGTCTTTTCTCTCTTGCGTTCTTATCACGATTCCGAGTTGTTTGCTTTTGTTAATATTTGATTTCGAATTTGCCGCACAAGCTGTTAAAACTGTGTAAATATGTTGTCGAGCTGCCAACTTGTGGCAAAGCGTGTAGTGAGTTGAGCAGATGAGTTGTCATGCCCGCTTAAAAGTATGCAATGCTGGTTGAGTTGCCAGTTTGTGTCTTAAGTCTTTTGTTTACTCAGCTGAATTTTGAGAGTGAAAACGTTAAATTTGTTTTCTTCTAATTGAATTGATGATATTTGAATAAAATTCCGATTCTCTCAATTCTTTTGTATTGAGTTTGTGCCTTAAGATTTTTGTTTTTCTAGATTATTAAAAAGGAAAAAACGAAATTGAATATTAAATATATATATATATATATATATAACTTTATATATATAACTGTATATATATATATATAACTTTAAATCTTAGCTCCGACTAACAAAAATCTCGTCAACAATTTTCTTTTTAATCTTTTCAATTGATCCCCAAGTTTTATATAAATTTTTTGATTTATTTTTCTTTTTTTTTAAATATTAATTTAAATTATAAATAAAGTTAGATTTAAATTCATGAAACTCTAGGCGAATGAATGTAATAAATATTTTAATGATTAGCGGTTAACCTCCAAAGTTGAGCCAATGGGCTGGGTTAGGTACACAAAAAATAAATAGCAGCTGCTGTGAGATTGAGAGCTTAGACTTAAACACTAGCAACCCCGAGTCGTAGAGAGGAATCACATGGCCAGGCAAACGGGTGTTGCAGTTGCAGTTGCAACAGCTGCAGGCGATGACTGCAGTCTTCCAATTGATTAAATGACAGTCGCATGCTTAAGTATATATCGAAGCAAACTGTATTCACGCATTGTTGTCATTGGCCATAACCTTGTTGATCCACGGTACAAAGTGCTGTATGTTGGTATAGACGCCAGGAAGATGTTCTCTGCCACAGCCAATGCCCCAGGAGACAAGCCCAATCAGTGTTTTGCGGCCATCCATCGTAAGCGTGAGCGGCCCGCCGCTGTCGCCCTGGCAGGAATCACGACCGCCCTCCTTATAGCCAGCGCAGAGGAAGACCTGATTGAGCAGAGAGAGAAGATATTACTTATCTGATATATATAGTTCCCTTTCCTTTACTTACATCGTGTATGGCCTCACGTCTGCCGGCGGCGCGGAACCAACGCTGACAACGATCATTCGAGATTACCTCCACATCCACCTCCTGCAGCACCGAGGGCACCGTGCTCTGACCATGCCGCGTACGTCCCCAGCCCGCAACGGTGGCCATTTTGCCCGTCAGCTTTGTGGTGGGCGGTGGCAGACAGACGGGTATGATGTGCTGCTTGTAAACCACATTGCGATCCAGCCGTATGAGTGCGACATCATTTTTGAAATCGGCGGGATTATAATGAGGATGAACCTCCTTGCGCTCAATGCCATATTCCTCGTGATTAAGACGTTCCTCCTGGCCACGCACATCCCACTCGCCCAGCCTAATTTTCATGTTCGAATTGGTGGTGCTATAATGAATATGTACAGAAGTGCATGAGTGGTTGCTTGATGGATGTTAAGCTTAGGCAGCGCTACTTACGTGGCAACACAGTGAGCGGCAGTGACCACCCAGCGATTCGATATCAATGCACCGCCGCAGCTCAGTTTGCGTGTGAGGAAACCGCTCTTGATGAGCGCCACCTGCCAGGGATGCGAGCCAAAGCCCGTAGAGTGGCCGCCCACAATGCGATTGGTGCGCGAAAACACCTCGCCGCAGCCTGAGTAGAATAAATTAAAAGAGGATTAGATGAAGAATATCAAAATATTGGAAAAAGTGGAACAGCGCAAGGTGCAGAACTACATAAAGATTGTGATTCAAAGTGTTTTTTTGTTGTGTGGTGCATACTAAGGAAAACTTGCAGTGGTGCGAGAAATGAAAACCATAGTGTGAAAGAGAGAGACAGAGAGATAGTGATAACAGTTAGATAGTATAGATTTTGGTACAGTTGAATTGGTTTTTAGTACCCGGCACTGGACGAAAGCTGCCGTCGTTGTAGCCACCACTTTGATACTCATCCACCGCCTCGCCTGCATTCAGATCGAGCACATTGCCCACGGCGAATGGCTGTGCCTGCGGCTCGTGCAATATGGGTGGACGCGTTGCAACAGCGCCATCCGGCGGTGCATCTGCATCAAAGAAACTATCCAGATGATTGGTGATGCCCAAATGATTCGAGTCATGCTCCCAGCTATTTAAGCTCGACACGCTGGGACGATGTACAGATGAACTAGAGCCGGAGCCGGAGTTGGAAGTGGGCTTATAGGGATTGCCGTTGTAAAGCGATGGACGCTTTGTGCTGTAATAGGCGTGGCTGGGATAGGCCGGCCGTGCTGACGAGGCCGCTGACAGGCCGTTATTGTTGTTGTTGTTGTGTTGCGTCTGGTGATGTGGCTGATGATGTGCCGGCTTGTTGGCAGTTGGCGACAAGTCGGGATAAATGTCGTGCAAGTGTATTATGTCACCTGTGTGTAAGAATCATGATGATGTTGCAGTTTTCCTCTATGCACAAACGGACGCTTAAGTATGTTTGTTTGTCTATTTGTGAGTGTGAGTATGTTTGTTGGGGAAGCTTTTCAATTCGAGTTCAACTTTCGCCTGTGATTCGCTTTAAGTAGTGAAAGACTTCAGCAAAAGTAATAATAAAAAAGCCACTGAGCCGGCAATTACGACTAGCGCCCTGCACGACTTTATTATGTCACCAAAGCCAATGAAGTCGAAATTTAATTCACAACTAACAAACACACACACACACAGATACATGCACACTCAATTGACCGCAGTCCATGACAGAAACAAAAGCCAAAATGTATGAGATAATTTTTCGCACGTAATTCAAAAAACAAAAAAAAAAAATAAATAAAAAAGGTAAAAGAAAATCCAAATAAAACAGAACGCCGCTAGTTGATTAACACTGCTTTTATTTTCTACTCGTTTGTGGCCGAGTTTCTCGACTTGGACTTGAAACGCCATAGCGAAATGCCGTAACTGTGGGCGCTGTGATTTTTCCCACCAAAAAACCAAAAACAAATAAATAAAAAATAAGCTTGATGCAGGCTCTGGGCAAAAGGCGCAGCAAACGTGAAATTTCACTTTTAAAATGCAAAAACGTTCACCTTCGTTTATTTCCGCAACAGATTTGGTTTTTGTTGATTTTTTTTTTGGTCTTTTCATTGTCGCATCTAAGGTTTGGAAAATGTTCCACTTGAGCGACTCTTAGACAGAAGTAAAAACAACAGAAACGAAAACTTTAAATTCCCAGAAGACCTTTTCCCCCAAAGAAAGTGACTACGCAAAACAGAACTCGCTACTTATGAGCTTTAGGAAAATTACCCAAAAAAAAAAAGAGAAAAATATGTTAAAAACATAAAATTGGGGCTAAAATTGGGCTACTTAAAAAATTTCCACTTAGAATTATTTACAACATGTTGTAATGTGTTTTAAGTTAAGTTGTTGTTGCTGCACATTTTTATGGCCAGCCTAGAAAACTAAACAGAGCACAACAGGCTGCTAAAGCAAGTGTGCCTCTGCGTGCTTGCTTGTTGGTTTTGTTGTTGGCTAAGATTACGATACAGCGAATGCACTTGGTGGTAATTGAATTTGTATAAAATCAAATTTATAGCCAAAAATGTGAAGTGCGAAAAAAAGAAGCAGCAAATGAATGGCAACCAAGCAGACAAGGCGTTAACAGCAATGGGCTGTGGCAGTTCCGAAATTTTAATGTGTAATAATAGTTTTATTTTTTTTTATTTTTTCAATATTTAATTTTACAATTTTTGTAAAAATTTGGCAAATTTTCTTGTGAAGTTAAATGTCTAACATGGCATTTATCTAGACGATTCTGGGGCTAAAGCATGGAGGGAATAAATAGATATGGCTTGTGATTGGCAGATTCCATAAGATGGGATCTTGAAACACAGATATTGAGTAAAATCTGCGCTCAGAGATCTCATCTGCCACAAATAAATATAAAAATCGTTGTTTAGGGATCCAATCTTATGTAAACTGTGGCAGATAAGCCATAATGGTGCTTTGAATAGTCCACTCAAAAAATTGCTACAGACAGACAATCCATCTTAGACAAAAAGCTAGTTGTTAACTAGCGGTCTATACAATATAAAATAAATGTATTTCGATTTTCAAGACATATTCAACATCAACTTTTCTATAACCTACGCATTTGTATAGTCAGTTCAACAAAATCTATCTGCATCTAAAGCTAACATCTAAATTTCAGTTAAATTGAATTTCCAATTCATTCGATTTAATTCGTTCCGCTGTAAGTTATGTGTGCTCTTCAGCCTGAACGACCCATTTAATGGTACACCATTGACACCTTCCAGTTCAGCGCCCACTGCTTGAAAGTGCAGCAAATGGAATTTAGTAATGCATTTGCAGCACATCTGCCCCTGCAGACATATGTTAGATTGTGTGTGCGTGTGTGTGTGTGGCAAAGTCGAGCAATTTGTTGTCATTTTCGAAATGCGAACTAATTTATTGCGCTATTATACAGGGCATTGCATAAGTCGAAGCGCAGCAATTTGCAATTTGTGTGCTCGCCAAGCCAAAGAGCAGCCAAATGCTCTTACAGCTAACTAAGCATGGTAAATTCAATTGGGGGTGGGCTTGTTGGGGAGCGGATCGCTGGGAAAGCAGATTGGACCTATTAGAACTTAGTTACTGTTACTCACTTGTATTGTTGATCGGCGCCGCATGCGGACTCTCCTCGGCATCGAGATCTTTGTCCACACAGCATGACCAGATCATGCCGCCGGAGCATAGATCGAGAGGTTTGCCGCCGCCCAAGACGCACGAGATGGACAGGCCGCACTCGAATTTGTGGCCACGGAAGCGGCACGACTGCGGTATCACTGCAAAGACACCAAAATAATGGGCATTAGTTGGGATAATACGCACACTCACACACACTGTGTATATGTGAGGGGCAGAGACAAAGTCAATAGGCAAATTGTTGCAGTTTAAGTGGAGTTTGTACTTCTGGATAGCATCTCCATGACGCTGTTCTCGCCGTAATAGCCGGTGCCGCTGCGACGTGACAGCGCATCTAATATGAGCATGTCATGCTCCTGCTGTGCCGTCGGATAGCCCACAGCGCACACGCTGTTGGGTGTGAGCACATAGATGAGCAGCAGGCTCAGCCATTTATCCTTAATGCGATAATACGTATATGTTCGTGCACGCGACATGGCTGGGGCTACTCCTGGCGAGGAGCGCGACAGGCAAACGCGTACTTTCACTTTCGCACAGCACTTGTTATGACGCGAGTGTTTCGCTGCTGCGTTCACTTTCTTTTTGATTTTGATTTTTACATGCGTAGCTATCCTGTGCTACACTTTTCTTATTATTATTATTATTATTATATATTAAAAACTCGAGCAGGATTTCACTTTTATTTATAATATCAGCAGCTACGCATGCGCAACGACGCACGAAAAGAAAATTGTTGTTGATGGCGTTGTTGTTGTCGTTATGTATAGCGTGGCTAAACCGCAGCGCGTCTCAAACATCGACCGCACGTCGGGAAATTCAGCTCAGAACTAAGCCAAAGTTTTGTGTTTGCACTGCGTTAAAGCAGCCGAAGACATTTGCTCGCATTTCGCCATTTCACCAGCAGAGCCGAAGGTGTTTGAAGCCGAGAGAGGCTTGAAAGAAAGAGCAACAGCAACATGTTTGCAGCGGCGCTCAGCAACATGTTGCCGAGCGGCCAAGTCTTAGCTTTGATTTCGTTTTTTCTTTCTGTTTTATTTTTGGCTTAGGTTTTTTTTTTTTGTCTTTTCTGGTCAAGGTTTTTGGTAGCTGCTCTATTATGACTGCTCTCTGCACAAATAATCTATAATCTATGGCATATAACATGTTGTTGTTTAACACTTTCGAATGTCGGCAAGCGCTGCAATTGTCGTTAATTGCAGTTGATTTTCCTGCTCTTGACTTGCACTGGTATGTATATAGATAAGAGAAAAAAAGACTTTTGCTTTTTCTATATTACATGGCGAGTGCCATTGAACTTGTGCTGCAATTTGCGCATGATTTGATATTTGCCTCCATATCTTTTGTTTATCATATGCAGCTCTTACTTTTAGCTTAAGTTTTTACTATTATTTTTTTTTTTTGTTATAAATATTTTCTTTTAATTGTTTTAATGGAGCATAATGCGCTTTCGTTGGTGCGCAGAATGGGCCATATGTTAATGTCGGCTGTGGCTGAGTAAATAATTACCACTCAAATTTTAGCTGTGGCTCTTAACTTTGGACGTGCGTTTCTCGGGCTAATTGGTTTTTTTGTAGTTTTTATTTTGGAAAGTCCAATTAAAGCTGTGCATTCTGACAAGATGAATGAAGTCTGCTCAGAGCTTGGTTGGGCACGCCAAGAACACGAGATACACGCATAAAGGCGCTGACTAAGTTACTTTCGCCTGGCTTAATTCATTTCTGGTACTGTAGAAATCGTGGAGTGAATCATGTGAACTTGACACCGTATCGATGGCTAAGCTCAAGGTTAACTAATATGCTAATTATGTAATTGAAACACATGTTCATGTTTGTTGACTCACTGAGCCAAAAACGAATGACTTAGGCAACGAACTTGCTAGGTGTGAAACTCTTGTTTTAGCAAAATGGAATGCAATGCATGGGAAAAAGAAAAGACTTAGGCAGCGAACTTGCCTGTGGACAATTTGGCTAAAATGCGTGTTTAGCGGACGAGTAACATAATTTAATTTTTCATATATATAAAAACTAAAGAGTTAGGCGACAAACTTATACCGGGTCTAGTTACATATTTATTCATGCTCTTATGCCTCATACAAGTCAAACATCTGGGCTACTCGCTACAAATCAAAAGACTTGGGTAAGAAACTTGCATACTTACAGTCGAGTTCATCGAAGAACTTTGCCTGCTTGGGCAAGTCCTTGTCAATGGCCTCCTTTAGCTCCGGCGTAATCACAGCATTGTATACCGAGTTGTAGCTGCTGTGAGCGGCGTCCAGGCGACCACATAGAGACAGGCATAGGCCGAGCAGTAGAGCTGGCAGCAGCAGCAGTGACGTTGGCAGCGGCAGCGGCAGCAGCCATGCAACTGCGCGCATTTTGCAATACTTTCGTTGTAGTTGTTGTAATTGTTGTCGTTGTTGCTGCTGCTCTTGTTGTTGCTACTGTTGTTGTTGCTACCTTGTTTGTCTGCGATTTTGTGCAATTGTGTGTTTCACTTAATTCACGTAGCGGCGCGAGTTTTTGATTGAATAATCGCTCGTTTGCATAGCAGGCGGCTGGCAGTTAAGATTGAATTAAATAAAATTCGCGCAGCCCATTTAACTTAATATTTGGCAATAAGACCCAATGCATTTATTTCGCGGCCATTTTAATATTTTAACATATTTTGTACGCGTCACGCACTTTTTCTTTGGGCTTCGTTCGAAATTTTCGTTGTGGTTTGCTGTTGTTTTGAGCTCTTTTTTTCTGTGTCTGACTGCCTTGCGGTGGGCTTTGCGTTTGCGAACAGTTTGCGGTAACGTCAAAACACTTAATAAACAGTTGGCTGACAAATTCAAAATCAAAAAGGCCATCAACACGCTCACTAACACGCACACAGCAGCGCCGAGCGGCGCTGAGCAACGGCAGAGACGTTCGCTATTGAGTAATATGCGCCAAAGAGTGTGAAACGGAGACTCTCGAGTGTGCGTGTGTGTGGAGAGTTACACTCGCATCGAAATCGAAAGTGAAAAGAAGCAGACAAAACAAGACGTGGCCTCTGAGCAGAGACAACAACGTTTGTCGCTCACTTGGCAATTGCATGTCGCATGTCGCTTAGCTGTTGCTGCCATGACTAATGTCAAATTTAGAGCTCACAGAGCCAGTGGCTATGAGAAACAAGAGGAAGTTAAATTGTCTTACTCGCACCTCACATGTTGCCACCAATTTAGTGGGCTGCCAAATGTAATTGTAGTCGAAAAGAAAAATCAACAAATTGTACAAATTGCAACAGGAAAAACCAGCAGCAGCAGACGCGGCTCTCTGGCAACCCAGGGCAGCCAAGCGAAAGCAAAAACGACGCGCGCACAACGCACATCTTATTTCGAGTTTATCTCTCAAGCGTGAAAAATTCCCTGCATCAGCACTCCAAATGCGCTTTTTTACTCGCATCGGAAAAATTGAAAAGCCATCAAAACGAATAAAGCTCAAATAATTGATGGGGGTTGGGAACCAAAGTCAATTTGATGAGTTCATGGATAACTATTGAATAATAATTGGCCACAAAATTGATGACAGACTTGAAAGACAATCAATTTGTTAGACAATGAAACAATCCTATTCAAAATTATAGAGCATTGATGCATGACTAAGCAGATACCCTGTTATTTAAAATGAACTGTAACTAAATAAAGTGAGAGTGCGCTAGCTTGGGTATGAAGATGAAAATGGTGAATAGAAAATGGATTTTATATTTTGTAGGTTTCTTAGTTTAATAATAATAATAGCTGATCTATTATTTCCGGAGAGAATTTTATAAACAGAAATTAATATTTCTTAAATTATTGAATTCGATCTAACTTATGTAAATTAATATTTGTATACACCCTACACTAATAATAACCTTAAACCAAAATCAATTTTTTCAAGTTGGAAATATATATATCTAAAAGCTCCTAACAGAAAGCAAACATAAGCATATTTTCCCATTCATATAGGTTATCAGCTTGTCATCAGATTTACTTTCACACGCTTAGCACACCCTTCCAACCCATTTCTTATGGCTCTAGGGTATCTAAGGCGAACGTAACATAATTTAAATGCTAGCATTGGGCAATTGGCAGATGACACTCGACTCGAGTCTCTGACTTGGCCCAGTCTTAATGTGTTTAATGTACAAATTATGATTATTTTCTGTTTGTTGTTGCTATTGTTGTTGTTGTTGCTGTTGCTGTAGCTGCTTGTTTGTTGAGTTGAAAGCAGTTGATTGTGCCATTTATGGCAGCAGCAGCAGCGACGAACACTAAATGGGAAATGGGCCAGCACAGCGAATGCCAAATGACATAACAAAGCAAATTTTATTGTTATTGTTGCTGTTGTTTTACGTGCTGTAAAGTGCGTAATTTCAATTGAAAATTCCCAATGCACAGTTGCAACCATCGTTCAAGGTCGTTCGTTAAGCCACCCAAGCACCCACACAAATAAGGCAACTAAACCCACTTACATTAGCTACATAATAATATTTAATATATCTAATAAATTGTAATTTGTTATTTCATATTTGTTGCTGTTAATATTGTTACTGCTACTGCTGTTGGTGTCGTTGTCATTGCACAGGCCATTGCTTAATGCTAGACGCCATAAACTAATGAGATTGCGCTGCCACGTCCACGGGGAGTCGGAGCCCATTTCAGTCTGCCACATGATTTGTTGTAGCTCTAGGCCCTATGGCTCATTGTGCGCCACAACGTCTTCCACCCAGCGCAGACTCTTCTGCAGATTGTGATAGATGCCTGGCTGATGATCCACGCCACAGCCAAAGCCGGCGCTCGTAATGCCCACAAGCACAAAGCGACCATGTTCCTTGATGACCAGCGGACCGCCCGAGTCACCTGTGCAATGCAATCAATTTAATTTTATTATATATATATTTTGAGGTTGGCCTATATATGTATGTATGTAAGAGTCCTTGCATTATTAAAATTTAGATACTCTTCTAAGTGGTTTATCCTAGATATTCTTAGCGCTCTTCTTTAGAAGAATGTACTTAGTAAACATAATTCAATAACTTTCTTGTTTATCGTATAAGACAGAAACTTTAATATATGATATATATGATATATATATATATATATATATATATATATATATATATATATATATATATATATATATATATATATATATATATAAACCTTTATCTGCCCGATCTATCAACATTTTTCTAGTTTACTCTTTACCGACAAATAAATTCATTAAAAAGTCCACAGGCTTCTGTTAATCTCCTCCCAGCTCTGCTAAGTCACTAACAGCGCTCTGTTAATGTGTCGCCTAAAAGTATGCAACAAAGATCTATCTCACCTAAACACGCATCCATATGTCCATCGGAATGACCGGCACAAAACATTTCCGATTTGATTTCCACACTGATCTGTTTGCTCTCATGCCAGCGCACGCAATCCAAGGTGGCTGTGCATAGAGTAAAGTCAATAATGTCAATGATAATAGTGTCGGTCATATTGTGTCTATACTGTACTCACATATGATTGGCACACTGGCCACCTGCAGCATGTTGGTGCCCGCATGACCCATATGCGCTTCCGTCTTGCCCCAGCCGGCGATTAATCCCTTCCGTCCCACCAACCGAATGGGATACTGCGGCAGGCATATAGGCAAGATGTGCTCGCTGAAACCCGTCGGCCGGGCCAGCTTTAGCAGCGCCAGGTCATAGCGGTCCGGCTGTGTGATGCGAAAGTTGAAGCGCGGATGTATTATCTTTTGGAGCACGCTGTGCTTCTCCACGGGCAGCGGCTCTTGTATGTGCCCCAGATTCTGTGTGTCCAGCTCGCCCAGATACACGGTTATATCGGGCAGCTGGGCCTGCTGTATGCAATGCGCCGCCGTTGCCACCATATTGGCCGATATCAACACCCCGCCGCACTGATACTCAGCAATGCGTATGTGCGCCAGCCACGGATACTCTGCAAACTGTGCCGGTCTGCCGCCAATGATGCGCTTCTGCAACGTATTCTGCGCTATGCGCGGCAATCCACATTCCGGCTAGAAATGATAGAATAACAGATTAGTCAATAACATAACTCGGCAGCATCATAATTGATGATGGCATTGGGCACACAGAATTCACAGACACAGAAAAAATAGCAGCAGAAAAACTGTGAAAAACTAGTTTTTCCATAACAAATATTTTCAATTGTCTTATTGTTAACTTGGCTCACACGCTGTGCACTTGATGAGTTTTGAAATTAACTCTTGAAAAATACATCAGGATAGTTATGCCGCTTCAAAGAACTCTTGCACAATCTATTATAATAGACTACAAGAACTTTTACACAATCTTTAATTATAGACCCTACTGTAATATGGTAAATAACTTTCATAAATATATTAGAAATAAGTGCTTGCATCCATATACATAATTACAGATGCATGTTTATGTGCTCTGTTACTCAGTGTATATTATGTTATTCTCTCTACTAAACTTTAAAGCTTAATGAAAAGTTTTTTTAAATAGTGCAGCCTTCTATGTGATTCTCATTAATTCTAAGAACCTCTCGCTCTATTTTTTTCACAAACTCTATAGCTCTTGCGCTTTCTCATCCCATATTGAATTTCTTAAACAGTGTATCCTTCTATGTGATTCTCATCAATTCAAAAATTCTTTCAGCCATCTCTCTTTGTCACCTAATCTTCAAATTCCTAATTCCCTCTTATATCTCCTTCTATATTCGCTTCTCGATTCTCAATGATTCATATTTTTAACGCTAGCTATATTTAAGGAAAGATGCCTTCTATGCAATTCTCATAAATATAAATAACTCTTCGGGCATCTCACACTTCATCACAATCTTATTTACCCAGCTGCATAGCTCATAGCTACACACAAATCCATGTTGTCTAGTGTAATTGCTTCATTGCAGCCACTTTACCTTTAGATTGAGCAGCTCGTTATCATCGCGCCGCCGCAACATAATGCGTTTGGGCAAACTATTCAAGCCCATCTTTAGTTTGCCATAGTCCACCAGATTCTCCAGCGGCGATTGATGCGTATGCTGATGCAGATGCTGATGCGGTTCGGCAATGCAGCAGCTGAATAGCCATTTGTTGCTGCCACAGCCTTTGGCATGCTTGCCGCCCTGCAGCCAGCAGGAGAAGCTCAGTTTGCAAGGCCACACGCCGCTCTGATGCACACACTCAGCTGGCACGCCCAGCAGTGTGTTTAGAATACCTGAGCGGGAGTATTAAAGGAGAATTGTTGATCAAAAGTTGGCGGGGATTAGCTGAGGAGCAGGCTTTACTTACTCGCCTGCAGCGGAGCAAATTGATAGAGCAGCAGGCATAGCCACAGCAGCAATAAATACCCAAATGAACGTCGCATTTTCAGTCACGACTTAAGCGTGTACGCTTCACAGACAGTCACTGTTTTCGGTGGGCGTTTAACACAATTTGCTGACAGCTAAATTTGTGTTTTGATTTGTTGCTGTTGCTGCTATTGTCGCTGTTAATGAAAGCATGACAATTTCTTATTCACTTTTATGTCGTCTATTTTGTGCTGTCTGCTCTTGTTGTTGTTGTGGTTGTTGTTGCTGTTGATATCTTCTGCTTTACCATCTGAAGCTAGCAAAACTCGCTGTTATTTCTACTTAGACGTCTTATTATTGTTGCTCCACTTTTACTACTCTTTGTGGTTGTTTCTGTTTTTGTTGTTGGGTTGAATGATTCACACAGCTAGCGGCTCGATTCAAAGCCGCTTGCGTCCTTGTCGCAACGTGTTCTTCAGCTAAATGGGTTATGAGACGCCTTTTTTCTTTTTTAAATAATAACTATGTCAATGCATCAGACGCTGGCACAATTTTCAATTGCAGCCACACAGAGTTTCACACATGCTGCCAATTGTGGCATGGCTCAACACACACACACGAAACGCGACGCGAGAATTGGCTAAAACGGCGGCAGCAGCAGCGACAGCGACAACCGCACGCAATGCTGGCCAGAATCAAACTGGGTGCCAAGCTGTAGCCAAAGTCTTTTAGCTTCGACTGTGAGAGCTTCTTCCCAACAACTGGTTGGCATCTTGAGCCGACACACACATCTGGCTTGATCTTGGGCGCTAGTTCTCAAACGCAATGTCTGGCTAATTGTTACGAAACGCAGGAAATGTTTGAATTATAATTATTTTATGCGACATAATTGCAAAACAGCAACGAGCTATGCACGTAACTTATTTAGCTATTCGTATGGAGGAAATGGGAGCAATTCTGGCTAATACAACTTTTTTTTGGGTTAACTGCGTGTCAGATAAGGGGGGAGCAACAGCAGCCGCCATTCTTTTATGTAACTTTCTAAAAAGCAAACTCTTATTGATGATGCTCTGTAGCTGTCTGAAGCATTAGCATATGAAATATGCTGCTGAAATATGTTTTTCTTGTTTTATTTTGTGCCCAGCAGGCGTTTCGCTTAGATGTCAAATGGATGTTGGCCATCGAATGGGTCACAAAATCGAGGAAACTACACAAAACAAATCACACATTTAACTCAAAAACTTCAAAAACTTACTAACTTCTCAACAAACACCTTTTGCTTCAGTTACAAGTTTACTCTATAAGTAGAAATATTTATTTATTATTTCGATTTGTGTTTGTAATTTTTTTTTATTTGTATAAATATAGATAGATTAGGAATCTAAATTTAAAATTTGTTGTCACACCATGGCCTGCAACCCACAAGCAGCAAAGGCTGCCACCCAGGGTCTTGTTGCCGCACATGCCAGCAGCATTGCGTATGTGCAGTGCCAGAATCTCAAGTACAATGCCATTATTATAGGTTGGCTGGGCGTCATCATATCAAGCGTGATGATCTTTAGCTCAATGATGGTCATAAATATGCAGACCGATGTCGAAGTTCTGGTGAAGCAAATCTTACTGCAACAGGCAACAGATAAAGAAATACAGCTATTAATGAATCGTATGTATTATAGTTCTGGACAACTTCTCTTCTTATATATATATGTCTATATCATATATAACCTTGATTCCTAGTATTGGCTGCTTTCAGTACAGTCGCCTATGGTATGTCCTTGATTAACCTGGGCGTCAGCCTCTTGCTGCTAATAGGTGTAGCTCGGGTAAGTAAGAGACAAAGATTTGAAATAGGTTAAGGTATGGTTAGGCAGTTGAAGTTCATTGCAAAATTACCATGAGCATTCCAAGTAGCTTTTTCTATTGTACGATTTACGCAGCTTGAATTCATATGTGTTCATTGTTGAGTTAAACATTCGACAATTTCTTTAGCTGACTACCTAATTCTACGTTACAGGACTCGAGCGGCTTGCTGTATCCTTGGTTGATATTTCACGGCGTTGTGTTTGGCTTTGGCCTCTACATGGGCATATTCTATGCCATGGCTGGCCTATTTATAGACCTGTCTAGTTTCTTGATGTGCTTGCTGGTCTTCACACTTGTACTGGGTAAGTCTTAACTATATATATGTATATAGTCGTATTAATATTCTATAATAATCTATCCACCCCTGTTCAGTGCTCTACTATAAGATCTATCATGAAGTTTTTACCTTGTTCCGCGTCATGCAAGAGCAGAATTTGCGAAATGTAAAGTTCTGCCAAGATGCTGAGCACGTGTTTGCCTCTGGCGTTCCATATTCGCCATTATATTTACCTCCTTTTCCATACAAGCAATGAGGGGAAGCAGCAGCATCAATTGATTATTTCACGTCTAATGTCGAAGATAAATTAATAAAAAACATTTAGATGTTGTTTTTTTTTTTCAACATTTACATAATTTATTTACACACAATTAGTTCATAAATAGTTTAAAATTACGTAACAGCGCATATGACTAAGTAAATTAATTAATAATTAATTTAATGTAATTTGAAAATCGCTTAACCAGATATCCAATAGATATCCCACAGCTATATCCCAACTAAAGATATATGCCTTGTCGTTACTTAGTTCTAATATACGCAGTTTCCTCCCTCATCATCTTTCTCCTCTTCGTACCTTACTAAAAGTAGAGCGCTGCGCGAAGTTTTGTTGAATATTATTAAATATATAAATAAGAATTAAAAAAAGAATGTGAAAGTCGATAGATGCGGAAGCTGGGGAAGTGAATTATGTACAAAACGTTTGCACTCCATTTATGTTCTGTGGAGGGCATTCTGCAAGCTGGAGCTGAAGCGTTGGATTTAAAATAAATAAGACACAAGTTGCATAGCTTAAATGTTGACAGTCAGGCCAACTACATAGGATACCCAGTCCACCGTATAGGCCAGGCGATGATATATGCCCTGTAAGAGAAAAGTTGCTTCATTAGTTGAAGTTAAGGTTTGGAGGAAGGTAAAAAGAGTAGATAGGGAGCATAGTCTAGATCTTGTCTTAGACAACCACTTACCGGCTGACCCCGCGATGCGCAGGAATAACCCGCCGAGACAACACCTGCAAGCACGTATATATTCAAGTTAGCTTGGAGTTGCTGACAAAGAACCACTCGATACTCACCTATCAAATACCAACGTCCATTCTTCTCATGCATCAGAGGACCGCCTGAATCGCCCTGGCACGAGTCTTTGCCGCCATTGCGATAGCCGGCGCACAGCATCTCCTGATAGATCACGACATTAATGCCATTCTGTCGATGCCAGCGCTCGCAAATACGATTCTCAATCACTGGCACATCAACAGCTTGCAGAGTTTTGGGCCGCAATCGAGACCCGGGGTTCAGAGCGCCCCAGCCGGCGGCCCAGCCATACTTGCCCAGAAAGTCCTCGTTCTTCTCCGGCAGGCAAATGGGTGCTGTCGAAGATGTGAAGTGAATTAAGAGATGCAGAGGGTAGCACTAACAGGTAGATCTACCTATATGTGGCATGAAGTGCACTGTGCGTTCCAGTGTCAACACGGAGACATCGAAGCGATCCGCTTGTGGCGTGAACTTGAAGTAGGGATGCACATCGATGCGACGCACGCCAAAGGTGTAGGCGGGCAGCGGTTCAACGGCCGAATTGATGACATAATCGCCCAGCGTAACGTGCACCTGACGGGGTGTGGCACGCGCCACACAATGACCGGCAGTGACCACATGACGTCGTGATATAAGCGACCCACCACATCTGCAACAACAGCAAATGTGAATTTGAAGAGCCATAAAGAGGTGGCCATCACTCCAGCTTACCTGGATGAGCCAATGCGTATGTAGGCCTGCCAGGGAAAGGAGCCAAAGCCGGCGTCGTCGCCGCCCACAATGCGACGCTGTGCGGTCTGCTTAGCCAGTGAAATGCCGCAGCCTGCAAACCAAGACAGACAGTTAGAGTGTGTGACGGGTTAGACCATTCAAAGGTTAACGCTAATAAAACAGCACAGAGTTAGTAGCAACTGGGGTGAGAGAAACAGAGAGAGAGAGCAGCAGGTGGAACTTGCAACCAAAAATGAAGCCAAAAATATGAACGCCGCTTGGAACTGCCCGCAATTTGTAGTTGGTTGGTTTGCTGTGTGTATGTGAGATAGGGGCGAGGGTGGTGCGTGCGGGATGAAGCATTAACTTTCTAAGTCGCTGTGTGGTTTGCTTTTTAATTTTTTACTTTTTTTTTTTTGTGGCACTTGAAGCTTTTTTTCGGGGCATGCCATTAAATGATGTTTAAATGTGGCTTAGTTGTCATTAAGTCTGCTAATTAACACATGCACATGCTGGGCAGTTGTAAAGTTCCTCAGTTTCCTCTTCTCTTTCCCCATTGCACTCGGCGGCATTTTCATATCCCACTTCAAGCTTGGTGCAAGGCATTTTAGTAGCGTGGTTTTGTTTTGTTTCTTTTTTCGCAACTAAATTAGGCACTCGACATTTGACAAAAAGTACTACGAATACGGTGCACAAATGCAAGACACATAATAAATACATAAAAAAATTAAATTATAAATCATAAACAATAAAAAGCAAGCAAACGCAGTCACTACAACAAATAATTTGGTTTTGTTAGGCATGCAAAACTAAGAAATAATCATAGCTGTTCTTATAAAATACTTGCAGAAGTTTGGAGGGTTTTAAAAATCAAGCAAATATTCATATTTACCAAGTATTTACTGAATATGTACTGGCTAAGCTTTAATATTATTTTTTTAATTGTTTATAGGTTTAAACTTTGACTTTTTAACTACTGGAAAGTTCTTCATTCTTAATCTACGATATATACGATATATATATATATATATATATATATATATATATATATATATATATATTTAATAAATTTTCTAGAATTTTAAATGGGTTAGAGAATTTTTGAGCTGAATAAATATTTATTTTCCATCTAAATTTTTGCAAATGAACAATAAACTTTGATATAAGACCAAAACATTTTCTAACTTAAGACTTTTTGAAATAATATATATTTCTGGAATCATTTATATCATTTAAAAGCATTTGTAAAGCATAACGGACAAAAAGCTATTTACAAAGAATCTAAGTAGCCATAAAGTTTAGTTGATTTTATTTAATGCTTGTCTACATTTAGTTTTGGAATCCATAAGCTATATATAAATATACATATATATATTTCTTATCATATTCCTCTGCAAGTATATTTACTCTCCGGCAAACCGAAGTTTGCTCTATAATTTTATTAAATTTCATTATTTTATATAAGATTTTTTCGACTTAGTCCAAAAAGCAAGCTGGACCGTAGTGTAATCTAAATTGTTGTTGTTTTTAGTGTGCACGTGCATGGACTTGTAGTTGGTTTTTTTTTTGTTTGTTTAATTTTGTTGTTTTGTTGAGGCAGCCACACTCACTGGGTTCGTTGTTGACCGGTCCGAAGTTCTTTTGGGGTAGATCGGTCAGATCGACCGTATTGCCCACATAGTCCGAGCTTCGTAGATTGGCCGATTTGGCCGTGCGATGGCAACAGCCGCGCAGCAATCCATTGCAGGTGCCCTGTATTAGGCCGCCAGATAGCCAGCAGCCTAAAAAGAACTCGCAAGTACCGCCACGATGCTGACACTCCATGTCCGTTGTGATGTCGACTGTCAAATGGTTGGGGGGATATCATGTATGTAGATGAGCAACATGTGTGATGTGAGTGTATTTGTGTGTGTGTGTGTAAGTGTGTGTAACTGGTTATGTGTTGGGTAGTGTTCGTATTGGGACAATTAGGCCTAGTGCAAGCAGTTCCCAGCAGCGACACTAACTGAAGCTTAACTTAAAAGAGTAGCAAATGGTCTCGCAGCTATGGACCCTGACACTTACCCTTCTCCTTGAATGTGCTAGCTGATTGTGGACTGCTCGTAGCCTCCGCAGCATTATCCAAATCCTGTAGACTATAATCGTTGCGTACATCCTGTACGGCAGCCAGTTCGTTAATGCCAAAGTTTTGATCTCTGTGTGGAATAAAAAAAGCGCTTTAGTGCGGAAACTTGAACTAGTTTTATTGAACAAGTTCGACAGTCTATCGGTCTATCTATCATACATTCATATAACTCTCACGCTATCTAAGTATCCTCTGTGTTTCCCACGCTATGCAGCAGCTTTTGTCGACTCACCTGAAAGCAATATTATCGCTAAAGTAGACACCCGTTCCGGATGGTGCGCTGGAGCCACTGGGTCCAGTGGTGCCCACATTGTCGTTGCTGGGGAAAACCACGCGGGGACTGCGCGAGGATTTGTAGGGGAAATAGCGACTCTTGCGCGAGCTCTGATAGTCCCCGGGTGCCACATACTCATTGAAAGCCTTCTGCGGTCCGAACTGACGCATGGGACTGGGTCCGGTGCGGAATTCCGTGTCTCCAAAGTAGAGACCGCGCTGCAAGCGACCTGGCAGTGCGGTAATGGGTCCATTGATGTCTCCAAATTTGGTCACATCATCGCGATAAATTTTTCCAGCTGCCACGGCTGCGTTCAATGTATGAGGCTTCGAGTTGGCGACCAAACCGGGAAACTCAAAGCTGGATGGCGAGACATCCGAGTCGAAGTACAGTTGACGTGTGTGCCGTGTCTCGTGGTCATACTGTGTGGGCGTGGCATCCTCGGTGAAGGGCAAGCTACCGCCACCACCACCTACAGCTCCACTGCTCTCCTCGAAAATTGGGCTATCCTCACGATAGCCCTGTGGATAGAAGGGATTGGCCGGCTTCAAACTATAGCTGGGAAACTGAAAGCCCACACGTCGACTCGTCTGCTCTGGCTCTGCATACTCCAGCTTGTCCGTGGTGCTAGCTGCGGCTACCAAATCACTGCGTTCAGTGCGCACCGTCTGCGACTGCTGCTGCTCTGCCGCCTGAGCTGCCAGCTCGGCGCCAAATTCATGAGCCACAGCAGCAATACCCTCGGCCGGGGGCCCCAGGGCGGAGAGCGTGGCATTGCGACTGGGTCGCAGCTGCAGCAGCGAGGCTGGACTGCTCGCCTCCCCCTCCGTCTGCAATGGGATGTACATATAGTTGCGTCTGCGTCCCTGCCGCGTCACATTCTCCGGCAGCGTGGGCACCAGCTGCTTGGGTATGGTGATCAGCTCACTCTGTGGCAGCTCCACACTTGGCGCCGGTATGATCTCAACATCGGAGCGACGTTGTGCGGTAGCAGCTGAGCCAGCATTGGATTGTCGTGCCGTGCGATAGGAGCCAAAGGATTGCACTAGGCTGCCATCGTTGCGCTGTCGCACATCCTTGAAGCTGACATCGTCCTGCTGACTGAACGTCTGATACGGCGCATACAGATTCCTGGCAGTGGGCGCCGCAGTTGCTGCCGCTGCTGCTGTGTGGGTGGCAAAGGCTGCGGTGGTCTGCCACGGCGCCAGCTGTTGGCCCGTTAGCAGCGCTGCTGTCGATGCCGTTGAGCTCTGCGCACCGCCGATCGCTTGAACTTGACCGGCATAAAGCAGGCAGCTAATGAGCAGGCTAAGCCTCCAACTGCATGGGCAATTGTTGCTGTTGCGATTGTTGTTGTTGGTTTTGGTTTTGGTGTTGCGTTGGTGTTTGGCCACTAACATCTTACATTGAGCGGGGATGAGCGTGTGTGGTGGTTGTTGGTGGTAATGACACTGCGCCCAATTAAGGTGCAGCTGCGCAACTTCCTGCTTGTTGCCGTTGCCGTTGCAGTTGCAACTGTTGCTTCTGTTGTTGTTGTTATGGCGATTTTGAACTTGAAGCCAATTGCTGGCCCGTTTCGCTTTTCTTCTTCTGCTGTTGCTGTTGTTGTTGTTGCTCGCAGCTGCTGCGTGCCGCGTTCATTGATCCCCGCTCCACTGGTTTCTTTGCCTGTTGCTGTTGTTGTCGTTGGTGCTTTATTTTTTTGGCTTTGGGGATTTTCCGGCGCCCGATGCTCCACGCTTTTGACGCTGTGTTACAATTCAGTTGAAGGAGCTGCTGCCGCTACCGCTGGCAATTGGTTTTCGATTTTGTGCCTGCCGCGAATATCTCGTGTGGCGGGTTTCAGCAGTTGGTGCGGTTATTGGACTCCTGCTTGCCTGCAGCTCCGCCGGCAATATGTGTGTGTGCGAGAGTGTGTACGTTTTGCTGCTCCAATGGCAATTATGGCAATTGCTGTTGACGCTTCAACAGCCGACGTTTCATGTGGTTGCATTCATGACGGCTGCTGGCAGTGGCTGATGATCTTGCAACAAGAGAGCGAGAGAGAGAGACGACAACAACAACAACTACTAACAGCAACAACAGCTTCGGCCACAAATTACTTCCTTAATTGCCTGCAAGAAGAAGAGAGAAAGAAACGTAAATATATATATATATATATATATATATATATATACATTTATATATAAAGAAAACGGGCTGGCATTTTGGCCATTAAGTTGCCACAAGCATGACATTAAATTGTGGGTGTGTTTCAGACACATGGTCGCGGGGGCAGTATGAGTTAGTGTAGTGGGCGTGTCAGACCATTAGCCACAGCCTAAACGCTCAAAATGAGCTTTCATCTGACGGTTTTAATCAACGATTTGCGCAGTAAATGCGCATTAAACCGACAACAAATTAATAGCAAATTACCAATTTACGCTGCTGCTGCTGCAGCAGTTGCTGATGCAGCAGTAGCATCATGCGTTTCCTCGGTCACAAACCGCAGCAGCAGCAGCAGCAGCTGACTTTTGGCAACAACTTTGCAAAACCAGTTAACAAAATAAAAGTCGCTGCACAACTGGAAAGCGGCAAAATTTTTGCTTTTATATGATTATTTTTTTTTTTGTTTTTTTTTTTTCATTTTCGTGTTTTGAAAAGTTATTTTTACGTTTAACGATAGAAGGAAATGAATGACTGCAATGAAAAGCGCAATAAAAGCAAAGCCATGCGGCAATCCCAGCCAATGCGCTTTAATGGAAAGTCCAAGGCATTTACATTAATTTGAGCAGCTTAACCACATGATCCCATGCATAAATAATTTGCCAAATTTTAAACTGTGCTTCCACATGAAATTCGCTTCACAATCAAGTACAATTTTTATGCGCAATAAATCAAATTAATTAATGGAAACAATTAATGAACAAATGCTATTTAATGTATTTTGTAATTGTTTTATGTTTTAGGCTTGTAATTTTTTATAATTATTTTCCGGCTTTTAGGCAAATAACAATATTTCAGACAAGAGTGGGACAACTTGTCATTAATATGTTTCAACAGCTCATGAGTCCTCTTAGGTATGAATTCTGTGCGTTATATGATTATCAACATAAATAAATTAAATATTTATGTAATAAAGTCAATTCATATATAAATACATTTTTAAGCTGTTTTCACATGTGCACGTTTTAGTTTTCGCATTTTGACGAATTATTGCTTATAGTTAAATATCTTTTTCTGTGAAATGTAGGTCTTTCAAATGCTCAATATTTTAATTCTTCGTATATGTATTAATTAGTTAAATTTTCAATTATTTAAAAACTACTTTAAATATTTTGTAAAATTTCCATTCTTTCATTAATTTTTGAAGAATTTCTTTGGATTAATTTTATTATATTAAGTCTTACTAAATTTATATAAATTTTAAAATAAACAGTATAACTTTTTTTCTCATGTTTTATAAAAGCTATAAGAATGTTCTTATTGTTTAATATTTTATTTCTTATTTTCCAAAAAAAATCAAGTCTCAATTTTTTTTTAATCTTATAGACTATCAGTATTGTCTAATGCAGCATAACTAAATTAGTTAAGTATTAATTATATAATAATATTTATTCTGAATACGTTGAAATTCAATTTCCTTTATATACTTTATTTTTTGCCTCTTCTCATGAAAAACAACTAAATTTTAGTCTCTGCTACAATTATTAGACAACATTGTTTTTGATGTTATTAGGAAAATCGCTTACATGTATTTTAGATAAATTAATAGGCTTGGCGCAAATACAGGAACTTTTTACATTTTATATATATAAATTATAAAATTCAGACGTAGAGCAGCTAGAGCAGCTTTAGCCCTGACAGCTATTAGCACGTTATTCTTTAATCAACACTTTAACTTAAAACAACAGACAGAGCATCATGCAGTCGCCCCTGCCTTAGCTGCAGAGTTCTTTGTTGTTGTTGCTGTGTGGTCAGCGAAGCAGTAAAGACAAAGCAGCAATAGCAACAGCACCAGCAACAGCAACAGCTTTGAAAGTAAGAGTTGGCAACTTTTTGCGCTCAACTGCGCTGCAGTCGTCGCTGCCAGCGAGTTTTCACTTTCATTTCGAGTTCAAGCACCACGCGAGCAGCTGCCGCTGTTGTTTTTGTTGTTGTTGCGGCTGCTGCAGTTGTTGTATGGCCGCTGCCAAACTAAAAGCTTCCTCTGGCGGGGGCGTTTGCAGCAACCGCACAAACTTGACATTTTGAACTTGATTTCTAGCCTAGCCAAGAGATTTTCCATAGAGTCGTGTCTGTGTCAGAGGGTAAAGTGTGCAGGCATGAAGACGGGCTGGGAGTCAGCTTATGTCAACAGGAAGCATTGCGCGAAACGTGACCAGACGTTAGCTATTTACTTCCCCAATATACGTACAGCTCATAGCCATGAAGATTGTTTTGCATAATGTTTTAACACGATGGGCTGCTGCGCCTGAGAGTTGCTGCTAATAGATTTTTGTGATTATGAAATCTGCAAAGACTGATAACTGGTTTGTCAACGTGCGGCAATGTAAACAGCTGTACATAAATATATATGCAAATCTAGATATAGATGTGCATATATACATATATATATATATATATAAATTTATATAGTTGCGAAATTGACACAGCAATTTGAGCTACACGATTTTATGCGCATTTCGTGTGATGTAATCAGGCAAAGCGCAAAAAAAATTAACCAAAAACAACTTTTCAGTGTTGGAAAATCATATGCAAAAAGAAGAAAAGGCTGATAAAGAAATACCAAAAGCCACGCTTTAGCAATGCGAGTGGCCAAAATTGATAAAAAGTTATGTAAAAAATAAAATGCGTTCGAACTGCCCACAGCAGCAGCAGCAGCTGCTGCTTGATGATCATCAACTTGTGATGCCTCATTATGAGCAACATGTTGCTGCCGCATCAGCAATTATTGCAACGGCCTTGTGAAGGACGCCGGAAACTGGCTTTACTTCTTTTTGCTTCTCTCTCTCTTTATCTCTCTTTTATATATATTTCTTTTATTTGCTGTTTGCCTTTCGCTGCGCTCTTTCTGTTGCTGTTTTCTTTCTTTCACACTTCTGCTGCACGCATAATTCACATTCATTTTTGTCTTCTTCTTCTTTGGTTTTTTATGCCTGACAGTTTATTTGTTTTAATTAACAATTGTTGCGGCTGCTCCTCTTTTATTTTAGGTTGCTTTTTATTGCGCCCTTCTTTTGTTTTTTGACCGTATTATCTGCATGTGCACTTTGTTTTAGTTTTGCGCGCTGCCTAGTGAAAGTTGCTCTTGTTGTTGTTGTTGTTGCAAACAATGCGTTGCTCGTTGTTCGTTTGCTACGTTTCGTTTATTTGTTGCTGCTGCAAACAAGCAATTTTTGTATATATAATTTTTTTTTTTGTATATTTTTCTTTTCGTAATTGAGATAAATGCATTTTAAATGCGCAGCAATGGCAACAGCAGCAGCAGTTGCTGACGATGCGGATACAACGCATTGCGTATACGCAGCGTTGCGCACAGTTTGCGTGCGTTTGTTCAACTCTTCAGCTTTTCAGTTGCTTTCCACGCATAATTTTCAATCAAATGAATTTCGTTTGCATAAAATATATAAAAGTTGAGATAAAACAATGCCTAATGCACAAAATCACAAATTGATGACAACAATGGCAGCAGCAACAACGAATATAAAAATAAACATAAAAGTTGCCTCTCGTTGCCATTTGTCATTTGTTGCTGTTGCTGTTGCTGTTCGTTATCGCTGTTGTTGCATCTGCTCGTTTGTGACGCTGACGAGTTGCGCATAAATAAATGTCAGCCTATGCCTAATTTAATGCATGCGTTTGCACAAATGCTTAAATTACAGCATAGCTCAAATGAACTTCAAGCTAAAATTTTACAATATGTTAAAAACTGAAGATTTATATCGAAGTTAATCAAGAAAGGTTTTTAAATTTAACTGCCCCATTAAACAAATTGAATTTGTGCATAGAAAAGCTTTAGCTTGTTGTGAATGAATATTGTAAAGTTAACGATGCGGGTTTGAGCTAAGAGTTGGACATAACTTGACTCTTGGCACTTGGCTTAGGCAGAAGACGTTGACTCTTGAATCAGATCTTGAAAATAGTTTTATAAATTACAATTTGAGCTTGCAAATTTATCAAATTTCGTTCGCATTCATTGGTATCCACAATATATATTATTTAAGTTCGTCTTAATCTAGAAGAACATATATATATACTATCTAAGCTAAGCAAGATATTCATAACTCAAGTTGTGTGTATTACATTGTGTGTACTACACATCTCAACGAAAACAAATTTCTTTTCACCTTACAACTTGCTTGCCCACTTTTGTTTCCAGTGTACAAAGAAACTCGCTTTTAAAATAAACAACAATTTAAACAAAGTTGTGCCAATTATGTGAATTGCTACCAATTGTACAATTGGCAATTGTTTTGCCAATGGCGAAAAGGTCAAAACGTTTGGACTTAACCACAAGCTGAAGCTGAAGTCAATTGGGTCAGCGGCTCAAGCTGCTGCAAGCTGAACTCTAAACAAAAGCGCACATCGTATGAAAATTGGTGTCATGCCATTGGCACATATTTAGCCTGGCCAAAAAGCAAACACACACACACGGGCAATGGAAAGCCAAAAACCTTATAGTCGTTGAGCTATTGGGTAAGGTAAGTGCTGTTGGCAAGAGAGTTCCAATTGAAAACCGGGCCCAAAGCACGCTTGCTGGTTGCCACACGGCCCAGAGACGCATAATCAATAGATATGCGACTGCGCCAGGGCCAGGGAGGGGTGAGCGGGCGCAGAGAGTTGGGTTTGAAGCGTTAATTAATATTCAATACTCGCGCTGCGCAATTGTTATGAATGTGTGAAGTCAACACCGGCAGCAAAAAAGCGTTAAGAAGCGCAACAATAGCAACAACAACAGTAACAGCAGCAGCAGCCTGAGCGTTGCATGTTAATCAAAGCTACATTTTGTTTATACGTATTGATAACGATTATATAATTAGCTGTGGGCCACTTGGCGTATGAGCAATATTCATTAAACTCTTGCACATTTGATATTTGGGGCCGCCCACTTTTGCAACTTTTTGGCGCATTAGATAAGCGCCATTAAAATTTTATAACAATATATTCTCCTATATTTATCAAAAGTGATTTTTTTATTTTCCTCACGCTAATGACTCGTGCAAATTGAGGCTATCGACTTGCTGCCTGGCAGCCGGTCAGCAACCGCAAAAAGCTGCTAACAACTAGAACAACTGCACATGCTAAACACAAGCTCAAGATTCACAGAAAATCTATAAAAATAGACAAAAATAATGGGAAAAAAAAACACAGTAGCTCGTGTCCAATTAACAGTTGAAATGAATGCATAATCGATTGCGCTGCCCAAAGTGGATGGGCATTAAGAAATCATTTGCATTTTCCGATTGCTTTACATAAGACCCCAAAAAGAGTCAAAGAGAGAAAGATTGTGGCGCCAATCAAAAGTTTATAATTTACATAAACAAAAAACTACAAAAACAAAAATTAAAATAAAAGCAACGACGGGCAACAAATCCATTGCCATGGTCACAATTTGGCGGAACTTGTTTCTCGTATGCAAACAACAACAACAATAGGCAAAGTAACAACAGCAGCAACAGCAACAATCACAATTTGGGTTTATTACCAGATGATAGTTGGAAAAGGGTCTCGGCCTGAAAAAACCACAACCGGATTTTCAATTTTTGGGCGCAAGCGAAAACCGAAAGCAACTGGGCTTTAGGTTGACTTGAGTTACTTGACTAAGCTATACCCTCTTAAGTCTGAGGCAGCTCTAGACATTATATAGTCACTATATATAGTCATGGTCATTTTTTATATATATATTTCACATTTTCTACATTATTATAGTTAAGTAAAGAAAGAAAAAACATATTTCAGAGCTACTTAATCTTAAACACATACAGCGTGCTCTTGAGTGTCTGCTATATATCAACGACAATGTGTATGCAACTCAAAAACAGGGTATTGAACGTTGTCTTAAATTAAGTAATTTGTGTCAGACAAGGAAAGTTCTCAAGTTTGCGCCTTAAGTCTTTCGTAATCTGAGTTTCAGCTGACAACAACAACAACGTCAAGAGGAGCAGCCGCAGCCGCAGCAGCACCAGCCGCCGCAACGCAGCAATTCAATATATAACATGCTCTAAAGAGCATGCAGAGCAATACGAGTTTCTCCGCTTATGCAATAAGCAAAGCCCTAAATAAAAAAATATATATAAAATAAAACCACTTCAGGAAAACAAAAAACGCACAAGAAAAGAAAGAAAAGAGATGTTACCAAAAAATAAAAAAAAAACCTTTTCGATGGCGTTGGCGGCGCTGTGCTGATAATGAAGTTCATGTCATATGTAACGCAGACAAACTTATAGACATACATATATGTGTATATATGTATGCACTGATTTAAGTATATGTATTTAGTGTGCACAAAAGCTTTGAGTGGGCTATAAAAACGTTGCCAAATAATTTTTTTTGGGGCCGTCTGTTGGTGGAAACAAAATTTGGGTTAACTTTTTTGTCTTTTGTTGCTGCGTCTCGTTTGCCCTTTTTTCAACGCACATTTATTTATGTTTTCCTGTTTTGTTTTTGTATTTTATTTTTTATTTCATTTCTTTTTTGTTTTTGCATATGCGTTTGTTTTTGGTAAAGACAACTTGACATGGTTTGTTTGTTTGTTTGCAGTTCGTTTTATTTATTATTCAATGCGCGCTCTTCTTGCAAATGTTTATTATATAACAATTAACAAGTCGAAGAGCTGTTGAAATATTATTTATTGAATAATATTTAACAAGTGTGCAGCAGCAAGTGGTTTGGCTACATATTAATGGGACTATATAAAACTTTATATATATATATAATTGGTTATATTTGATGTGTGAATGAGTTAAAGAAATCTAAATTGACATAAATGGACCTTTTTGTTGAATATACATATGTATGAGTCGAAATTTGGCTTGCTTGAGCTCAAAAATAGTTAAGGAGCTATGAATTCCGAATATGGAATATCAGCTTATAACATTTGTTGAATATATTCATTGGGGCTAAAATTTGTTTGACTTTAATGTTTATTACTAAATGAACCTTTCTAGCAAGTGCTTAACAACACATTATTTCAGAGAATTCTACATTTTCAAAAATTTTGAGCCGTAAACTCAGCTCTTCTACTACACTACTACTCTTCTGCTGTATACCAGCTTCTTCAGTCATGGTATAGATATACCATAGTTCACTGTGTTATAACTAATACAATCTATCAACCTTGTAGTCTTCTTTACCTCTTTGTGCAATGATATTCTACTGAATACCAACTTTGTCGATCACTGTCAATAATCATAATCTAGACTAAAGTGTACTGCTCTAATCTAACGCCATCAATCTTCAAGCCCAATTTAATAGACTTCTCTTCCACACTTTACAATGTTTTTCTACCAACTTTGTCAATCATTAAACCAAATTACATAGTCTTGTCTATATCTGACAGCTTTGTCATAGACTTCTCTTCTACTTCTATAACAAGCCCAATCTGTTGAACACCACACTCCATTAATCATTAAGCCAAATTCCAGACTGAAATGATTTCAGTTTTTGTCTGCTCTGCAGACTTCTTTTGTCTTTTTTCTGCACATTTTAGAAATATGTAAAAAAACTGGTATTTTTGCTCAAGCGCTACTCAATTAAATTAACTTTATTTTGCTCTAAATCCACATTAGCTTAGTCCAAAGTTTTTATTTTTTTGATGTTTAGCTTGAGCTAAAATATTCGCATTACTTTCCACATGTGGCAAGAGATCGAGCCATGTTGAGGTGTTACATATGGCAGTTACTAACTAACTCTGTGTGCGCATACACTTGTCTTGTCTATGGTGTGTGGCTATGGCTATGGCTATGTCTATTGCAAGATTTATTAGATAATGGCGCTTTAGTTATTTCTTTTCTTTAATATTTTTCATTTTGTTTACTGCGGTTCGTGAGTTGTTGCAATTTGAATGATTTAATCGTCGTCGCGGCGATTGCTAATAAATGTTGATTGAATGTGAAATTTATGAACATTTGATTAGTTTCTTTATGTGTGGCAAGACTTTGTTATTAAAACTAAAAAAAAAATTCATCTTACCCAACGTTAGTTTCTTTCTCTTTCTATTTTGTTTTGTTTCAGTTTTAAATTGCTGAATTAATCCAAATCGTGTGTAAACAGCTTGTTGTTGACTTTTATTGTGTTTGGCTATAAAAATTAAAGCACACTTTAGATATATTTAATGTAAAAGCAATTCGCAAATTGCTTGCAAATTTATTTGTTTATTAATAAATAAATTTGTATTTTATTTATTTTTTGTTTTGGTTTAGCTTGGCTGCATGTTGCGTTGCGTTGCGTTGCAATTTACTGAACTAGCTATATATCTGTCTATATAATGCGGCTATAATCATAGCAAATGGCTTCGAAATCGAGCGCTGCTGAGCTGAGCTACAAAATAGCAAACAGATTGCGATTGCGAGGCGCAGACTCCAATTGCAAAATCAAATCACTTTCACTGTCAGGCGCGCAGCCGCAACGAAAACGAAATTGCAACTCACAAGCAACACAGCAGCAGCAATAATAACAACAACAACAGCAACAGCAACATCAGCTATAGCTACAATCCAATACAATCCAATCCAATCCAATTCAATTTCAATTTCAATACGTATCACTCGATTGCACTCGACTCTCCACTCTTATCGATAAACACACTCAATTTAGCAATTGTTATTTGGCTTTTTGTTTAGCTTGTTTTTAGCTTTCATATGCTCCGTTTTGCATGTCCTTTGATCCTACACATAAATAAACACACACACTCAGCAGTAGCCAAACACTTACGTTTTGCGCGCGTCTTGCGAATCGTCGAACCGAACGAGCAAACGATACGAAACGAGCTTTTGCTAAGCTTTTTGCTTTTTAAATATATATTTTATATGTTTTTTAGGAGGCGAGCGCGCACACGACCTTCTTGAGCGAAGTCTAAAAGAAGTCTGAACGCAAGCGCAGCCGCTAAAGCTGAGCGAAGCTGCAGCAAAAGTTTAACAACTGCGCAGTCGCGGCTGCTGCTGCTGCCTCTTCCTGCTCTGTCGAGCGTTTTTTTTTTTTTGGCTAAAGCAAAGCAGTGAAAAAACAGCTGTCGCTGTCGTTGGGGCTTTCGTTGAGGCTTTTGGCTGCGTTGGCGATGAGGCAACAATCAAAATGCACAGACACAGCGTAAAAGCTATGAAAGGGGACGACGCAGCTGAAGAGTGTACATATATATATACATTAAAAGTCAGTAACAGCCAGCGCTTTGTACAAATACTTATAAAATATTTTTATATATATATACTTATTGCTTAATGCCGGCTCAGACAGCCGGCAGCGCCCGCACCCTCCCATAGTACCCCACGCCGCTTTGTTCAAGACCCGAGATGCAGGCGCCCATTTCGTAAGCTGTAATTATGTTATGAAGTAGTAGTCGTAAGGCATCATTGGACGCCATGGTCAATAGTAACTACTCAAACGCCATTCAGTATTTAGCTAGCTTTTATACCATTTTTCAACTGTCCAGCCATGACAAGCGCCAATTAAACAGATTCGGGCTGCAGCTAGCAGGGGGACAGCAGACAAGAAGAAGCAGAACTACATAAGCATCGACATTTTTTAATGCCTTTTGACAGACTGTGACATGTCTGTGACTTGACTTTGACAGCTAATTGCAGTTAGGCGCGTCAAAACGCGATTGAAATGTAAACGGGCCTTGTCACAAAGACAAAAACGTGAACGTAAACTCATTTTTATTGTCACCAAGCCTAGGGTATTTGACCAGAGCGTAAGTTGAAGAATCATTGTTCATGAAATTAGAGCAGAGGCATGAAAGTAAACAGAGTAGCGAGAGCAATTAGCATCATTTTGTTGCTTTCGATAGAGCAACTATGAAATCTAGTTGTTATGTTTTAATAAGCAATTATCAGTAAGATAAAGTTTTGCACAAAGTTCACATTGAACTGCCAGGCATAGGAGCTGTTCACTGTTATTTAAGATATAATTTGAAATATATTTGTCAGCTCTATACACAACCCCAATTTCGTATTTGTATAGTTTAATCTTAGATGAAACAGTTTTAGTCAAAAGTATACTTTTTATGTTGAAGTTTTCTTCGCCATAAAACTTTTAACCTTAAACTTTCGTCTCAGTTGACCCTCATTTAACTCCATAAACTCTTCCAATATTAAACACTTATCAGGTTAATAGCAAAATCAAAGTAGCATTTACAAAAAAAGAAACAAAAACAAGAGTTTAACTTTGAGCTCGAAACACTGGAGCGTACATTGTCAAAACGAAAGACTTAGGCAACGAACTTGCACAACGATTCAACGTCAAGGCTGTGCCAAAGGAGCCTTGATCTCAACAGTCAACGGGCCGAGGGAAACTCCCAAAAAAGCTGTTGACAAAATAACGAAGCGGACACAAGAGGGAGACAGAGAGAGAGAGAGAGAGAGATATTCACGCATGTATGGAGTGGCCTTTGGAAAATCAATGCGAATGGTGTCGAAAGACGATGGCGACAACAGCATTTCACATCAGCATCCGCTGCCAGCCAACATATTCAGATGAATCATCGCAGCGATTTCTTCTATTTTGATTGTTGTTATGTTTGTGCAGCTGAAGAGTTGGTTGTTGTGTTGTGTTGCTTGGTTAGTTGTTTTTGTTGTTGTAAACTCCCTTGTTATTGGCGCGCGTAAAGTCCGTTTTGCTCTCATTTCAGCGCAGCAGCGAATTGAAAGTGAAAGGAGCAGCTCATTTCTATAACTTAAGCTGAGCAAATGTTGCTGTTGCTGTTGCTGTAGCTGTGAGTGGAAAGACGCCAGCCAGCATCAGCTACAGCTGGCGGGCATGGGCATTGGCATTGGCGCGGGTGCTACTGCTGCTGCTGCTACGGCTGTAGCGGATGCTTGCGACAGTTGGAAAGTATTTTCAGTGTGTTTATACTGTGACCTGGGCAAATATTTGCATATATAAGAAAGAGCGCTGCCTAACCGCAAACTCGAGTAGCAATTGCTCTTAATATTTGCCTAGCCTGGCACAATTTTTGCACAGCTGCCGGCCATCATTGATTTGGCTTAGTTTTGTTATTTGTTTGCGCACAAATTATGAATATTCATTTGACTGACATTTTTTGTCTTTTGTTTTACCTTCTTCTCTTCTTTTTTTTTTGTTGGCCAGCATCGTTTTTGTCGATTTCTCTGCGATATTTACTGTCATTAAATGATGTTGTCATTTATTTCTACTACTGTCTACTGCAACGGCAACTGCAACTGCAACTGCATAAGAGTCGGCGTATGCAATGAGGAAGTTAGCGGCGTTTGCGCTTCACGTCAAAGGCAAATAAAAATCGATAATTGAAAAAATGGCAACACAAATATTTGCTACAACAGATGAAGGGGGCATGGGCATGCCGAGATTAGCATACATTTTGCTGTATGCACAGCAGACGTAGTGCTGCAGCAGCTGCATGTTCGCATGCGCCCAAAATTATGAGGCAGGAAAATATATTCGCACATGCTTCATATATGTGTGTGTATCTTTGCGCCGCACCACAAGCTCTCTGGCTGTATATGTGTGTGCGAATGCCATCATCACTTTCACCCAGAGGTGATATAATGAACTACCGGCCTGGCTGACTGGCTGGCTGGCTGGCTGTCCGTCCTGCTCTGTAAACTGAAACCAACGCAGTGCAAAAAATCGCAGCTGCTGCAAGATGCGCTATATTTTTCTTATTTCTTTTGTTGTTGACCGCTTCAAACTCCCAGCTCGTGATGCCATTTAGCGTGGCTTTCAAAGAATTCTTTATTCTATGCTTCACTGTCAAGTTCGTGCCTTAAGTTTTTGGTTTGTCTGCTGCCATCAGTTAACACCAGTTTGCGCTAGTCGCCTTCGTTATAATTCGATTAGCGCTATTTAACAAATTGTCTTTAATTGTTTATAAATTGCATAAATATTTAAAAATCTATCAAAATAAATTTTTTGAACATAACACCGGATGTCAAAAACCGGATGTATATCACATATAGATGTTAGATTAGAACTTTAAAAACTTTCCGTTCTCTTGAATGAATATTATACACTTTGAGAAATTTACTTAAACTCAAATTATTTTGGTAAAATGGAAATAAAATTTAAATAAAAATTAATTTTTTGTAAGCTTCAAATCTGACAATGGAATTTTTATATATTTCAAGTTTAAAAAATATACTTGAAATTAAAAATTTAACAATTTAAAAAGTTAAGTATAAAGGTACGTATAAATTTTTTTAATAACTATTTATTTAATAACTATTTTTTTAAATATTTATTTAAAAAGATATACTGTTTTCCCTTTTTAATAATTTGATTTAAGAAATAAATTACAAGGCAAATAAATGATCTCAAATGATTTCACAAATTACAAAAAAATAGTTTTAAATTCGCTCAGTGTAAAAGCCGTTAAACTTACATAACATACTAGCAACATCATCAATATTGCAATTGCCCTTTTTGGCTCAGTGTGCACGCATTGTCAGTGGGCACGTGCCACAGGGTAAACTTAGCCAGAAAGTTTTTGCGACCCAGCGGCAATTAGTGGGCCCATCGTTGATCTCTTCAACCAACAATAAATAACTGCTGGCAACTATAAGAGAAAAACGAAAAAAATTAAGTATATATACATATATAAAAACAAATCGAGATCGTGAAGTATGGAAGCGCATATGACAGCTGGCAGTGAGGCGGTCATAAATCAATTTCAACGCCGGCAGAGCAAAGGTGTTAACCAGTTCGAGTTTGAAGCTTGGAGTCTGAGCTGTGCCGTGTTATGTCGGGATTGCAAAATACCGCAGCCCACAGACAATCGAGCAGTGGCTTATGGAAATGAATATGTGAAAAGCTAAAAGCCGTTTAGATTTTTGTTACCAGTGTCTTTAGGCATTTTATTTTCTTTCTCTCTCTCTCTCTCTCTTAATCTTCATTTTTTTCCTTTTTTTGGCTAATTACACAATTGTCTATGCAAGAGCTTCGGCGACATATTTATGCTTTAGTGCGGGAGGGAGTGAAGAAGGAGGAAGCCCATAGGCTTATACAATTCGACAGACGTCAGATTGAACGGGGCATGCGTAACCGAGGGTGTTTTTGTGTTCAGCGAAATGAGCTTTATGAGCGTCTCTTACAATGCCTGTACATAGATTGCATGAATATATATGTATGTGCACGCATGTATGCATGTGAGCAGACACAACACGCGCATGAAGAAAACTATTTCTTTGTGCACGCCAGAGACGTGTTCCTCTTAAGTCTTTGCCGTTTGTTGCCTGCAGTTGATTACCTTTCGGGGTCTTTAGCCAGGCAACTTGAATTGCAATTTGTGGAAATTTGATTGTCAAAATGAAAGATGACGACAAGATTTGAAGCGAGGCGTATACATAATTTGCACATTAGTGTGCAGCTGCCTTGCAGCAGCAGCAGGGCTTAATTTTTGTGTATGTTTGGGCAATTGGGAAATGCTGTTGCTAAACACTTAACCATTTCGTTAGCTGACCTAGAAAATGGGCTTCAAAATACAGTTGACAGCAATGCGTCGTTTCGTAAGCTCAACAGCTGGCAAACAATAAAGAGGCAAATTGGTAAACAAATTGGCCCGCTTTTCGCAATGGCTGTGCAACTGTAACTGTGGCTCTGACTGTGGCTATGGCTATGGCATCGAGCCAGGAAATTTACGCTATGGCCTATTAAAAGGTAATTTCAAAGCACAAGCACTTTTGACTTTCATTGCTTTTTGTTCAGTAGGCGCAACAAATCGAAACGACGTTTTTTATGATTATTATTATGATTAAGTTGCAAATTATAAATAAAACATTCAAAGATTTCCTCATTTTGCACCGTTCACCTCATCAATCAGTCAGTTAGACAACAGATCTCTTTTCAGACCGTTACAAATAGAAGTGCCAGCAATTTTGTTTACATTTCGAAAGGCTGCAGCAGAAACTTCCTGTCAAAGGTAGTGTCAAAATTGAAGCGAAGTTGCTTTGTATGATTCAACGAAGACTGACGAGATTTGAGATGTACTGAAACCAGGCAAAATGATAAGAAAATACAAGAGCGAAATCAATTAATACGTAACGCTATGCAGTTTCTTAACTGCCTGTCAAAGTTAGCAACATAATCAAACTGCAATCAGATTGAATAACGAACACCCATAAATAGACAAGAGATGATTTGTAATTTTGTCTCGGGTTATGCCGAAAATATAATTTATTAAGCCACAAATACTAATGCAAATGCCACAAAAGGTAAATGAAATGAGCTCCACCGAAAATGAAAGTAAAATTAATTTTATTTTGATTTTTTTTTTGCCCCACTCTTTTTTTTCTTTTTGGCAAGTATCGAGCGCGCTTGCGCGCTCTGCTTGGCTTCTTGGCAATTTTTTGGCGATGATGTCAACATAATTTCTCCACCTACACAGCAGGCCAGTTCTCCCTCCCCTTTCGCTCTTGGCGCACATCTTTCTCGCTCCCAGTGTGACCCCTGCGCATGGCTTTGATTGGGTTAAATTGAAGGCAAGCACGCGCTTATATAACGTGGCCGCAAGCTGTGCTGAAAATCATTGGCGCGTTCGTGTCTTCAGTCTTTTGTTTCAAGCATTCGCCATGGCCAGGGAACCGACATTGAGCGAAATAAATGCCATGATTTGCATTTAATGCGCATCAAAGAAAGAGCAGAACCCGTCGCTTTCCACTTAATAGAAGTGTAAAAGATTTACAACTACTAAAAACTTCACACTAAACTCCATGATTTACACGCCTCATAGAGGCGACCAACTGTAGACAATGCGACAGCCGAAAGTCTTAAGCATTGTGTCTACCACAAGACTAAAAACAGAAACCAACCTCAACAAATGAAATGCAACAAATGATAATTATGGGCATTGCTGTATCATTGTGTGTTTTCTTGTTGCTGCTGCTGTTGCTAATAATCATAAAGAAAGGTTAACAAAAAAGCGCCTGCAGTTGTTATTATCTGTTTGTGTGTTTGGGGGCAGCAGCTGTGCTGTGCGCCATCCAGCGGTGCGTATACATAATCCACCATTTCATGAGTGTCGAGCGTTTGTTTCGCATTCCCCCTTATATATATACCTATATATATATATATTTATGATTGTTATTGCTTTTGTTGCCATCATCACAGCCCGCGTCATAATATACATAATTTCTTAATTGCTTGGGGTCAGCTTTGAGTTGGTTTTTGTCTACTTTTTTCTTTGCTTTTTTTCATCGCTGACCGCAACGCTTGAAGCGGACGACCAACAAGGCGTCTGCAGATGGGCTCTAATAAATACGCATTTGTATGGCTGATGCGTAATTTAAATGATGCACACTTCAATTTCTGTGGTTGTCTCTGCACTTAAAATCTACAATTTCAAGCCAAAATTGTTTCATGTGTATATTTTCAAGCTGAAACTATGATGCTGCAGCACGTAAAGCGGTTGCGAGAAAAATGAGGTAACAATTTGTAACAACATAAAGCCGATTTGTTAGACATATTCTATATATAATATATATATAGCTGATATCAGTGCGTCCCAGTTCAGCTTCTTCTTCTGGCAATTACTGAAGCTTTATTTATTTATTTCTTGCCTAAATACTTAAACAAAAATATTTTATAAAAAATATATCAATATTAATATTGGACCAAATACATATAAAATACTCAAACATGAGCTGAAAAAACATCTACAAAGTTTAAAAAGTAAAAATATATTTTTGAATATATATTAATAAAGAAAGTTTGTAATATTAAAATATAATATATAAAAACAAATTTACAAACGAATAGAATAATATGCAAAAAGAAGGCATAAAAAGTAAAGTTGGATTAAAATAATAAAATATATATCAAATATTTTTTGAAAATTTGACAAAGAAATGTCAAAGATATAGTATCTTTTCTCATATTTTCCCAACGGTCTTTAGAGCTATCTTTAAAAGTAAACAAATCTTTGCAATTTATGCATCTAGTTTATTAAATCGTGCAAATGAATTCATTTAACCTAAGCTAAACGCAGCTAAAGTTTTGTTTATTGTTTATTATTTGCTTGTTTTTTACCCGCTTTTATCTCACACGCTAAAGATATATCTGCATATATGTTAATCCTATTCGCAATTGTTTATGCCTACACCCATTTGTCAGATTGTGGATTATTATTTAGCTCGTCGCTGTCGTCGTCGTCATTTCATTTCGTCTGGTTTCCTTTTGTGCGAAAGCAGTGAGAAAATATTTGGCTAAAAGTGCGCCGCTTGAATGTGTAAACACAAATTCGCATAGCGAAAGAGATGGCTGCTGTTAGAGCGGGACAGCGCCAGTTGAGACGAATTTTTGGGTTAATGTTAATGCATTTGTTGATGGGCAGGCGGCAATTTAAAAAAGTTCAACCAAATTGGCTGACAGCCGCATGTAAATTTCATTTAACTTGTTTTCCCTTTTTTTGTCTGTGATTTCTTCTTCTTTTTGTTGTTGTTATTTCTTTATTTTGTGGGGCATTTTGAGTATTTTGCATAAAGAGGCATTCAGCAAAGCCGAATACAGATTGCAATGACGACGATGTAGATGGAGCTGGAGCTGGAGCTGGGTATGGGTATGGCGTGGGTGCCTTTCACTCAACTTAAACTTTAGCTACAGCTTGGAAGTTCACGTCCGGCTCCATGCCATGTCAAAGTTACCGGCAGCAGCAGCCGCAGCTACCAGCTGTGGAAATAATTTCATTTCATGGCCAAGCTTCGACTGCAATTCCGACGCAATTAGCAGCGGGCGGCACGCAATGCAATCATTTACCCAAAAGCTATTTAACAAATGCCGCCCACTAGAGTCGGCGCAAAACAATCGGAAATCGAAATTGAGAGTGAAAGAGTTGGCTCTTATGGAACGAGCTGCAGCCAGGCATATAAACGGCGACCTTGTTGCAGTTGCGACACAGCGCGTTTCTTCAGCTGCGTCGTGGCTAACGACCATCAAGTCCAGAATCGCTGACCTTTCAACAACTCGTGTGTGTGCAGCAAGTGAAGCGTTTCGTTGAAGTCCGGCTTTGACATAATGCAGTGAGCAGCCACTAATCCCCGCTAGCTAGAAAGACAGGGGGAGCGAGGAGGGTAGTGGGGACGTCTCGGATTCGGATTCGGATGTGGATGTCGCAATCAAGCGTAGAATAAGCCACGCACAAAGCTGCGCTTCGTTGAGCTTCAACTGCAACAGCTGCGACTAAACATTGCGACACTTTAAGGCTGCTGAGCTTAGAGGTTGCACTGCCCTGTCCTGCCTTGGCCCCTTCGATTGTTCAGGTAAAGTGCATTGAAAGCAGCGCAGCTGCCAAATGGCCGGAACAGATTATTCGGCTGACTGACAGCAGCTTGGTAAATGCAACCAAATCGTAGCCAAATCGAACGTAGCTTATTTGTTGATAAATCTTTTGTGGTAATCGCCTGGGCAGCTGGCTAATTGTTCTTGGGCAAGCTTAGAAATTGGTGTTAGGCAAGGTTACACTGAAAAAAAAAAGATTTGATTGAAAGAAAAGTTTTGAAGTTAGCTCAATTGCATAAGATAGTAATATTATAAATAAAGTGCTACTTCGATTTCGTACTTTTATATCTATTTATTATTTTCATTTCTTATATTCCCCTTTTGTTCCAATATATTTCAAATATTATTCTTTTCACAACTTTCCATTTTATATATTTTCACATGTTCAAAATCTATATTTTTCCACCACATTTGAATTTCATGATTTGCCGCCATACTCGCGTCTATATATTTGCCTCGCTCACACGCATAGCTCACACGCAACTTAAGCGCTGTTAACATTTACTGAAAAGCAAGCGAGATAACAACAGCCAAGTGAACAAGTTCACTCATTCGTTCATTTGATTCTCTTGCAGTGCTGCCCAGCGCTAGCCAAATGTCAGTTAATGTTTAAATAGGAAATTTGAATATTTAATTAAAGTGTTTATTGAGTTTTTCAAGCAAATGATTATAAATAGTTTGAATGCAAACATAAAATATGCTTCTATACGACCTCTGCAAGCAAAAATGTAAAGATTAACAATAAATTTTATATTTTCACCTGGCGAAACTTACTTTTCTGTGTGGAGTTCCAGCCAATCTTAACTTTGGTCTGTTTATTATGCGTCTTTAGCCAGTCGACAATAGGCTGATAGTACTCCAATAAGGCCAAACTGCTAAGGCCGGTATTTTTGGGCAATATTTTGCCTACGACCTCACGCCAAGGCTTCGTGGAGCCCAAGGACATCATGGCTCTATAAAGTATGTTTAATAGAAATAATAATTCAGTATTACAAATTAGTTTCTTAAACTCACTTGAGACTGTTGCCCACTGCAAAATTGCCAAAGAAATCACAGTTGTGCAGCTGCCCGCGATGGTTGGCCTGCTGGCACAGCGAACGATAGAACTGATAGCCCAGCACTTCCGAAATAAATTTTCTAGAGAGTTCGAGGTGAAAATGTTATGAACTGTAATTGGTTGGTTTACAAAACTCACTTGGTTTGATAATTCTGCTCGATGTTTACGTAGAACTTGTAGGGGAAATCGATGGCACCCTCTGGGCGATCCGTGGGCGGCTCAATGCCTGCATGCAGCTCCAGCAGTCGCCAATAATGTTTGTTCACTGTATCCATGTCGACGGTGCCATTTAAGAGATCATGCATTACTTTCGTATGAACATAGTAGAGCGGTATATTGAGAACTGTGTGAATGCCCTGTGGGAGGATATGAAATGGGGGTTAAAAAGTCTCTCTTGGAATAGCTGAAGCCAGAGCTATGAACTTTCTGCCATGTAGAGCTCTCCAGTAGTTCAGACTGTGACTATCACTCACCATTCTGAAGAGTCGATTCATCAGCATTTGCTCCATAAACTGCACGCCCTTGGCCAGGCCACGTCCCGTCAAGTGGGTGGGCGATGAGGCCGAGAGCACCACAGCCTCACCCACCGGATATTCCAGATTGTAAGCCTTGAAGTAATACGAGGGCAGCTGCTTCTTCTGCTCGGCATAGTAGACCCTGGCCATGTGGGCGTGATACTGCATCAGCTTTCTGAAGCTAACCTTTTCGCAGTACATCATGTAGACGTGTGGGGTCAGGTCGAAGAGCGAGGGACGACAATCGTCGTCGGGTCTGTCTTCGTTTGGCTCCTTAAGCTGATTCTTGTGGAACTCAGCGCTCAACGGAGCAAAGCCTAACGAGGTGTAGAAACTCTCGGACTCATTGACCAGCGCCTTGGCACTCAGATGCTTGACGAATTCATCGTATTGGGGCAGATCCTTGCGTGGGAAGTAGGATTCAATGATGCTGCCCTCCTCCCAGGCCTGCTCGAGCACCTGCTGGAAGAGATGGTCCGGTATGGGTCCATTGGCGTTGACCACATCGCTGCCGTACTTCTTGTGCAACTCTTGGCGCACAAACGCATGCAGTTGCTGATAAGCGGGCTTTAGCTCCGCCATGGCCTGCTCCATTTGCTGCAGCATCTCTTGGCTGTCGTAGCGATACCACAGCTGATGCACCGGTATCTCCAAGATCTGTGCGGCCTTCTGATACGACTGCACGATCGTGTAGAAGTTAACCGAGGCCCAGATCTGGTTCTTGTCACGCCACGTCTCCCAGTAGTACTTGAGCTCATCGACATCGTTGCTGCGCTGCACAATCTTCTGTATGTCCGGATAGTAGGCCAGCGGACTGTCGTCCTCGTTGGGCATCTTGGCACCACCCAGATACGGCTCGATGTCCTTGTCTGTGGACATTTTCTGCAACGCTGCCAGATTCATCTGCACCGAGGAGAAGTAATCCTCGCCCAGCACAAACAAGTCGCCCGCTGTGCGAAGCTCTTGCAGCGCCAGCTTCAGCTCCGCATCGTGCACTTGGCTCAGATCAAAGTTACTTGCCTCACGTGAGATGCCCACCAGCTCGTCCGCTATGCGCTTCACATTGGTCAGCTTGGAGAAGAGCGCCTCGAAATCCTCCTCATTGTTAGCTGAGTATGTCTCGGAGGCGATTTGATTGTACAGCTTGAAGTAGCGCTCGCTCGACTGATCAATGAACGTCTTGGCCTGCCGATCGTAGCTCGAGCTGACGGCAGCTGCTGCCAGCTAAGGTCAGAGAGAGAATAGAACAAAGTTAGCTAAGATTGCCTGTGTGTGTGTGCGTGTATACCCTAGGCAGAAGTTAAAGGTGTATATTAGTTTTGATGTCGACTCTTTCTGAGATTGAGAACGTTATATATGCAGCTGAAATTGAATTAAGGTAGAAACAAATTTGCTTAGAGAGTTGTTTGTCAAATACCCTATATTTTAATTTATACAGGGTATATGTGCTTAGTGAACTGTCTAACTGATGTTTGAGTTATCAAATATTTGAGCATATCATGAATCTTTCAGCTATATGTTATATAGATTTCATATATATATATTCTTCTATATGCAATTCAAGCTTTTAAAGCAGTCAACGTCAGAGCGAACACAATTAACATGGAGCAGCAATTGATAAAGTGATAGATTTAATGATAAACTCTGATAGTTAAAGAGCTAAGCTTGAGCTGCAATGGGTATACAAAAGCTTATGTAGCTTATCTGACAGAAGGAATGAAATTTGTTATCTGTAAATATACCACAAATAGTTATTGATAACAAGCATAGGTGTGTGGCTTTGAGAACTATCTGGGCGAGCATAGAAATCTTTTGACAACATATTATATAACTTTAAATTAATAAGCCTGTTTTCATTATAATTTTTCAATCAGCAGCTGCCTCTAAAACTTCTTTAACTCTTACTTAGTTTACACTTCCAAGACACAACTCTAAGCTACAGCTCCACTTTGTTTAGCTTTTCATTTAGTATAATCAAATAATTGCGCAGCAATTGCTTAATTTTCTGCTTCTTTGTGATTATGCTTACGCCAATGGTTGCTATCAGCAGCAGCAGCTGAGACTGACCCAGAGTCAGAGCCATCTTCTTGCTTTAAAGAAAAACTTTTACTTTTACTTTTGCACCACTCGACGGTGCGTTCACAACTGAGCCGCTGAGGCGACAGCAGCCCGATTATAAGCGCTATAGAGCGTCAAATTTGATGAGTGGGAGATTGAATTTGTGCTGCGCGTAGGCTGGCTGCTGTGATCTATCAATAGCACACGCCGCAGCTGATAAGCGCAATCGCAATCGCAATCGCAATGCGCGCTTAAGGCCACAGTCGAGTACTAAATGAATGGACCAAATAGTAACAATTGTATTGTTTTCTTTAAATGCCATGATGCGTTTATTATGAGCTCAATCAAGATGCAATATAGTCTATTACTGGAAGTACATGTAACTTAATATATATATACGTGTTATATCAGTGTGCAGTGTCATCGAGTGAAGGTCGTTGCGTTGTCGTCGTCGTCGGCTAGATATGTCCAATTTAGGCCTGTCGATTGGCCACACGATTCTCGTGGCGTATGCTAACGTCTACGATGCTCATATTGGGCGTGAGGAAGTTGACCAGGCGATCGGCGCCAGTGCGTGGCAGGCGATCGAAAGGATAGCCCATGGACTGGCGATCGGGATAGAGACGATCACGCACGCCGCAATAGCTGGCAGCATCGCTGCAGCGGCCCACCAGCTGCTGATCAATCTGCCAAAGAAAACAAAGCTTAGCTCAGCTCAGACTTTAACATTTAGCTAGCACTCAGAGACTCACCCTGTCGTTCTCATAGTTGGAAACCATGACGAATAGATCGCAGCGCAGACCCTCGGGCAGGCCCTTGGCAATGAGCATGTGATTGGGCCAGCCGCAGCCGCAGAAGTTGAACTCCAGCTCCTCGGCAGAGCCAGCTGCAGGCCGATTGGCATCCAGGTTGCGGAAGGTGCGTTCGAAGGGAATCGTCACGCTCGATTCTGTGGAGCGACGGCGTATGGTATTCGGTCCGGGATTCAGTGAGACAACAAACTTGTCCAGCTCAACCATCATCAGACGCTGCTCGCGCAGCAACATGGGCTGACCACGCTCGTCGTTCTTCGGGGCCATGAAGATGCGCACATAGCCGAAGCGCTGGGCGCCGCCATCGTTGTTCACGTTGATCGTGTAGGTGAAGGGCAAGTGGGTCAAGTGGGTGAAGCGGGCGAAAACATTACCACGTGGCGTAAAGTCAAAGCCACGCGACAAATCCATATCGGATTGCTGCCAGAAGGTGGTCAACACATTGGGCTGGGTGCCATTAGAGGCCACCTGGACGCCCGTAATGGAGATGCCCGAATAGTTCAGCTGTGTGTCGGTGTAGGCCGGCAGGCGGGTCTTGTGCTCCTGGAAGATGCGATCAATGTAGGCGTGCCACCTGTAGAAGGCCGGATCACGCATGGCTGTGGAGGAGTCGCCTATCACGCCAAAGGACTCCAGATGCTTGTTGTTGGTGTCATGCGAGTAGGAGATGAAGACGTGGCCAAAGTTGTGCAGATCACCGTACTGAAATTACAGGGTATACGACTTATAGTTAGGCAATCTGTTAATGGACTGCTTGAAGCTTACCAAAGTGCGGTTGGGCGACAGAATGGAGGACTCCAGTATATTGCCCAAGATGTCAATGCCTCGGGCCTCGTCCAGCTCCACTCGTTGTCCACGCTCCTGCAAATACAGAATAGCTATAAACTACAATTCGAAAGGTTGCTTCACGTGCTACTCACATCCATGACGAAGCCTTGATGAATGGCCTCGTAGATGCGATCGCGCCAGCGCTCAAGATCAGCCACCTCCAAATTGATCTGATCCTGTTCGCGATTCAGATCGCCCAGGCGCGTATTATCGAAGCGTGGTGGCCAGGCACGGCTGGACACGAGAGAGTCCATCTTGGGGAAGTAGCCCTCGGCGATGGGCTCGCGGAGGTTGTTGAAGGGCTGAGTGCGGGCCAGATTGTTGCTGAAGCGTTCCATGTTGTAGCGTGCCATGACCTGCTCGTGCATGTAGTAGAAGAGCTCGCCGCGACGATCCTTGTCCACAATGCTGCGATCGGAGGCCTCGAACGGGTAGACCAGATGCCAATGCCAATGATGAAGATTGACGCCCAAATCTTCGCGGAAATACCACAGGCGATGCTCTGGCTCCAGATCCGAAGCAGTGTAGTCCCGGGGTATGACAATGGGCATGCGTGAGCCGGGCTGCACCACGAAAGACTCCTCACGCAGCTCACGGAACACCTGCGAGTCGACGAAGCGATCGGGGAAGGACTGGGCAAACGAGGGCAGGTCCAGTCCCTGGGTATCGGGACGATGCAACAGTGCAACGGACAGCGCATAGTTGAACATCACGGGATTCACACGATCGCGAGCATAGACCGCCACGCTCTGCAGGTCGTCGACGCTGCGCATGTTCACAAAGATGTCGATGAGCCGGGCAGCAATGCGTCGATGCTTGGGTATGAACAGCGAGAACTGCTCCTCGCGGCCCAGCGACATGGGTATGCGCAGATCCGGAATCGAGATCTCCCGGACAGGCACACGCTGCTCCACCTTCTCGCCGACACGGCTCTGCACCTCGTTGCTGATCGGACGATAGCGATCGGTCAGATAGCTATCGGGCACATCGAACACGGTCACCTTCTTGCCCTTGTCCATGAAGACGGGCTCAGTGGGGTGCTCGAACAGCAGCAGCAGATTTTTCGTGTCAGCCATTTCGCAGAACTAGGTAGAGCCGGAGCTAGAGCTTGTCGAGAGTCTCAAAGGTAGTTGATGTACTAAGCACTTGTCGCACTTTGCAACTGTAACTGTCCTAGAGCTGAGCTGCGCCTTTTATAGCTCGCAGCTCTTGAAGCTATCACTGACCACAAACTATGCCCAAAAGAATGCGCTGTGAAGCGGCCCAGCTTGTGGTGCCCAAGAAAAGCAACTGATAGCAGCTGATAAGGCAACGAGCTGCAGCTGTGCATGGAAAACCGCAAAATTTCTACTATTTTTTGTTATTTTTTAATTTCAAATTTCTAAAATACATTTTTTATTTGTTTTTGTTTTTTTTTTTTGTTTCTTTTTATTATAATTATGTTTACACATATATATGTATATACTAGTTTGAGTGAAATTTGATTATTCATTTTGTATGTATATAAATTATCTGCACTATATATTCTCTCTATATATATATGTATTTATATATATATATAAGTGTCTGTATATATAGTATATTGCAACAAATTCTACGCTCGGCGCTTTCATAAATACATCGATACTAAATAATTATTGAACTACATGCACAATTGTTATGATATCTGTATACATATATATATTTTGGTTTTTTCTTTGCGAAGATCAACAACGTGTTTAAATTAAATATTTATATATATTCCAGATAAAAGTAATGTTTCCCTAGAAATGCCAAGAATATCAACTGATCAAATGAGAGACACAATCTTTCCCTAGTAAGCCTTGATTGCTTCTCAAGTTCCTTCTTTGTCTTCCGCTGCCTGCTCTTCCCTCTCAATCTTTGACCCTTGTTGGCAATGGAATTGTATTTCTTGTCTCTCTCAAGAGAGAAAGAGGTTAAGTAATTATATTATCTAGCTCTAGGAAAAGCGAGGCAGATTCCTCTTCCTCAATGTCTCTCTCGCTCTTCCTCTTTCTTTGTCGCTTTTCTCTCAATAGTTATTTTTCTCTTGATCTTTAGCTGATTCTTTATCTCTATCTCTGTTGTCTCTTTATATCACACTCTCTTTCTTCCCATTTTAATCTCGCTTGATCTCTATCTCTCGTTCTATCTCTCGCGTTCTCTCCTTCTCTCTCTCTCTCTCTATCTCTCTGTTTCTTTCTCTCTTTATCTTTCTCTCTCTAACTGTCTTCTCTTTCCCTTTCCCTAATCTCTCTCATTACTTTCTCTCCCCCCACATTTCCCATATAATGATGCACATCTAGTCCCTTAGAACTGTGTGAGATATATAAAGAGAAGGTGAATGCTATTTATAGATATATATATAATATATGTTTTCTAACATAACTGAAGAGACAGCTCTATATAATAGTGTATATACAAGTGTTGTTTCAGTTTCTCGTGTTGTTCTTGTAGTTGTTGTTGTTGTTGTTGTTGTGTAAAAGCGTAAGTTCTTGTAAAAAGTATCTTAGAAAAGCCCTTGAAAATGTCCTGTGCTCCTTTGGTTTGGCCATTTGTTTCGAGTTGCATGATATGTTGGTTGTGTTGTATAAGCTCTTAGGATAGAGTAAGTTGGGTTTTTTTGTTGTCTTGGTTCTTAAAGATGGAACAGAAAAGGGAATTAACACTTGGTACCCATAACCAGTAAGAAGAGTGAGCGCTGTGTCCATATATATATATATATTATGTTCAATATGTGGTATAAATCTGTTTAATCATATCAAAATTACATACAAATATATGTATTTACATAATATGTATATAAATATATATATAATAATATATATAGTGCATTGTAAACTCAAAGGAAATACTTACAAAAATAGAGACCAAAGTGTAAAATACATAAGAATACAATTTATGCAAAATATAATCAGTGCCATTTGTTTAAACAACTAAAAATTGTTGTTCCATTTAAAGTAGATGAAATCCATAGTTGAACTAGTTTTATATATGTACTATGTATAATGTGGAATGTTGAATGTTGAATGTTGCATGTAGCATGTTGCATGTTTCATTTGTGTTTTTTGAGTGTATTTAAAAAAGTTGTTCAAGCTTTAGTCACATTTTTTGGAGCTGAAGCAATTCTCTACGATTTGTATACATATATATAAAACGTTTAAATATGATTTGATTCGATTCGATAACTTGTTTTGCCATAAATAGATAGTTACAAATAGTTGTTTGATCTGTTTCTTTTGATTTTGATATACATATATTTATATATATATATATATTGTTATTCTTCGCTTTTGTTTGAATGTTTCGTGTGTATATTGGTGCCCAAATATTTTCAGACTACGCTAGTGCTACTTTTGTAATTACAATAACAACTATTTGATAAATTTTCATGCATTATTACGCCGACTGCTAAGGAACTTGCACTACAATTT